GTAATGATAACAAACAAAAGGTCGGGGGTCATTGGTCAAGCAACACACCAATCAGAGAGCAGCAGTGAGCACAGCTCAGGCTGTGTTTTATATTTGTATTCTTTATTTCTGATGTATTTCACAAAAAAAACCTTTAGTAGAAACGTTTTCACTGATATGATTAAAAAAAGAAAAAAACCGCAAAGTGGCAAGGCTTGCCAACCCTGCGTTGGGGGGGCACAGTGACTCATTTGGGGGGGCATGGCCCGCGAATGACCCCCCATGACGCCGACCCTGACTATAGTTACTGCCCCAGTTCCAAAACTGTAATGGAAACGCAGCATAAAATGAGCCTGGCCTAACAAGGCTAGCCATACCGTACTAAGTGGAAAAGCACCATTTGAGTATCCGGACAAGCACCCTAACATTTAAGCAACATTTTTTTACAATTATATCATTTTTCGACATATTACAAAGTAAACATGTACCAAAGTACTGCAATTGTATTCTATACTATTCTCCCATCAGTGTTGAAGCCCACCTAAGTTTGTTATCAGGATCATTTTATATAATTAAGAGTCTAATTAAAAAGGTGAAAGTTCCTCCAAACAAAGTGGTTTGGCTATTCTGACAGCTTGTGTTTCACTGTAACATAACTGAGGCAAATGCCGGGCAAAACTACAAAAAATAATCATACACCTTTAAAAAAAGAAACCCTCCCTAGTCATTCACAGCTTCAGCCGCTGGGACAAATATTTGTTCTGGATCAGAGTTGTTATGACCGTAACCATGTGATAACCTCCCAGTGTTTCTGTCTCAGAGCGCTGAAGATTAGGGGTTTCCTCGCAGGGACTTTAATTTGAAGACGTTTCTTTTGGCCGTGTTTTTATACGAGATAAACACGTACAGCTGGCTCTTAAGTCGTGCTTATTGGGAGCATTTCAGCTTTAAAAGGCAGTCATAAAAATATGAACGTTACATTTCTTTGAGTTTTGTTTATATTATTATTATTCTTCGTCTGCATCACATTTTGTTCGATAATGATGCTCGAGATTTTGGATATAGTTCCCATAATTTTAGGTGTTTTCTCTCATTGTCGTCATTGCAGAAGCTGTGGACTTCAACTTGTTCCCCATTATTCTCTGCTCATATTTCTTCACATATTTGACCAAACCATCTCTTGCCCTTTATTCCACTCTCTGATACACACACACACACACACACACACACACACACACACACACACACACACACACACACACACACACACACACACACACACACACACACACACACACACACACACACACACACACACACACACACACACACACACACACACACACACACGGAAGTCCTCAGACCGTGTGTCTTCATGCTGTCGGGGGGGAGGTGTGTTTGCAGAGGTCACAAAGCAATGTGTGTTTTCTCAAGTTTCTCAGCCGCCTCCCTGCGCTCGCTCACACATGCCTGTCGCCATGGCAACAGCTGTTAACATACATCTGTCGCCCCCTGGCAACGTCAGACTGTACGCATGCATCAAAGTGTCAGGACAGTATTTACTTTCTCAGCATTTTTACCAAAAAAACTTCCTCTGACTTGAAGCGAGTTCTTAAAGTCGCTTGAAGTCGCTTTACTGAGTTTTATGGAGAAATCTTTTGATGATTGATGAGGTTTATTTGCAGGATTTCTTCTTGTCTTACCCGTTTTAAATGAACTATTAAGCGTTTAACGGGCATTTTGCAGAGATATTGAATTGTAATGATAAAATAAAATGGGCAGCAATAGGCTACATCTCCCCTAAAAAAGATTCAAAATACAATTTTGAAAAAAAAGTAATTTCTAAACATCTAATATAGAAATATGTAGCGATTAGATACTTCGTTCTATGCACGAGAAATACTTACGAATACACATACATTAGATCAGCAGAAAACTTCATTTGTACTGCAGACATTCACTAAAGCTTTATTAACACTGAGACACGAACACACACAATGTACAGCCTCTCTCTGACTTTGTGACTTCAAGACTTTTTGTGCTAGTGTTTCTCAAAACTCAATCACATTTTTCATTAACCCTGGGGGAATCTTCCACACACACACACACACACACACACACACACACACACACACACACACACACACACACACACACACACACACACGTCGTGACGGTGATAGACATGTTGGAAGTGATTTTTCCATCTGCCTTTCCTTCCCTGCACCATCTGCCATCGCCAGCAACTCTTCAGCTCTGTTTGGGTTAGAAGAATAGCACCCTCCATCTTCTTCCTCTTCTTCTTCATCCTCTTCCTCCTCCTCCTTTCTGTGCTGAAGGGAAACCCCTGATTCACCCACTCTTCGTATGCTTTCAGGGGTGCTGGAAGTTGGATTTAGTTGACATTAGACAGTAGAGAAATACTCCTGCATTCAATACTAACATATACAAACTTAAAGCATCAGACACTGACTTATTTAGCAAAATGTCCCAGTCATTATTGTGTTATAATTATAGATGCATTTATGGGTTCATTACTTTGATGCTTCAGCTGGTAAAGGAGGGTGTTTTCCATTGTCTTGTGCATTTAATCTGAACCTAATAATACATGTTACATTCTTTATTGAATGATATTGTGCTATTGATCTGAATCATCAACGAACCTTAAAATGTGGATTAAGTACAGTGCTGATACACTGAGTTATAGTCTCCATACTGTAAGTAATACAGCCTTTTGTGACTTTGTTTAAGATTATAAAATCCTTATGATATTTTTCAGTAAGCAACATAAACTCTTCAGCAGGAAGGTGTTGTTTTAAATCCAAAAAGTCCTGTGTATCTGTCTGTCAATCAGTGCTGTGTTCTGGCGGGGATGCTGAGGGATGAGAGTAAATATAGTCGACTTGTATCTGATGTGTAGGGAGACCCGTCTGTGTGAGTTTGATTGACAGAGATGCTTTGTGAAACTTGAAGTCAGTATTTCACCACAAAAGTGCTCCATTAATATTTGATGGCTGAAGAAAAGAGCCCCACTTCTCTTTCTTTTGGTCTTTGTGAGGACAGTTTTCACGATAGTAGGGAGGCTGAAACACATTTTAGAGCTGCGAGACAGAGAAGAAGAACTGATATTACATCTGGACGTTATTTCTATTTCATCCCACGATCAATAACTAAATAATCTACAGTACTATAGCACTGTTTGTTGTTGCAGGATGTGAGGCTTTTTACATTCAGAGGGTCATTAGATCCATTTCACAACTGGGGGTTATTTGTTCGGAGGAAGAGTGGCACCATCTACAGTCTGAGACGTTACACAGAACATACATAAGTAATAATGAACTCAAATCAGATTAAAGAGCAATTTAAAGTCTAATATTTGTTTTTATGCAGTTTTACCAATTTAGTATCAAGTCAATTCCTTTAAAATGGGTGTTTTTTGCTTTCTTTCTGCACAGCAAACTCTGGAGCTAAAGGGAACACAGGTGAAGTTGGCATGCCTTTGATTGGGGACTCCATGCCACTGAGAAGCATGGTCATTGAAAAGAGAGTCTTCAGTTGTTTTGGGATTTCTGCAATTGACTGAAAGAGAAAAAACTGGAACACCTAAACACTGGAAGATGGATATTTATTAAACCTCAAATCCAATGGGATATTCTGCCGTGCCAAATGGAGGACAGTGGACTTCAAACACGTGAATGATGACATTTTTGCCTTAAAATACATTTGTTTCCTGTTTAAATTTCTGTGCATTGGCATCCACTAATGACTGAATGCAGAAACAGCAGCGATGTGCTATAAGATGTTATATATGTATGTATTATTTGCACACATTTCATTCAAATTGGAAAGCATTTTGGCATCAAATAATGACTGAAAACAGTTATATTGGTTACTGAAAGATAAGAAGTATTAAGTACGTGCTATAATGCAAAATCAAGAAGCCCTCTATTGTGGCTAATAGTTTAAGAAAAGTGCAAAATCATGGTGCTTTAGCAGAAAGTAGGACTTTGCTGTATTGGTCACCACTTTGTTGGTAATGGGTAATAAGTTGAAAACACACACACACACACTCTCAAAACACCTGCAAATACAAATTGTTTGCATGTATTCCTGCAGCAACCGTTCAAAATAACATTCTGCAGGCTTCAATTAAAGTTGCATTCATATGTGAAAACACACACTTTTATTAAATAAACAATATACACACACACTCACACACTTTGCCAAGTCAGCGTCCACATTCTCATCACTCGCTGAGCTGCTGGGTTTATAAGTAACTGCATTAGTGTGTGTGTGTGTGTGTGTGTGTGTGTGTGTGTGTGTGTGTGTGTGTGTGTGTGTGTGTGTGTGTGTGTGTGTGTGTGTGTGTGTGTGTGTGTGTGTGTGTGTGTGTGTGTGTGTGTGTGTGTGTGTGTGTGTGTGTGTGTGTGTGTGTGTGTGTGTGTGTGTGTGTGTGTGTGTGTGTGTGTGTGTGTGTGTGTGTGTGTGTGTGTGTGTGTGTTCATACACGTGTGTGTTGCTTTTCCTCAATTTGTAAAATGTCCCTGATCTCCGGCTTACTCATCAATCCGTATGCTGGAAGTAATGGAGTGAAACACAAGGACGACATGTTGAAGACTAATAGAAGACGTGGGAGAGTTAATCATCAATGTAATAGTATACATTTAAAGCAAGTTATTTTCAGCAATTGCTCCATTGTTACCTGATCTTACATTAAAAAAAGTGATGGACTTTGTTGTTTTAATTGATGCAGTGTTTACATTGTGCATGTGCTTCTACCCCCCTGCTCCTTTTCAACTATTCAATAATTATGTGCAAGTTTAAATGAGATGAATAAATATTTAAGATGAGTGTACATGTTAGTTTGAAGTATAAGGAACAATTAGATGCTAACACTGAAATAAAGTTTTAAATGCATGACTTTTACTCTGGCTACTTTTAGCCTATTAAAAAAACCATGTGGACTATCCTTTTATTTTACCACCATCATCTTCTTAATCAGAGCGTGTTTTCCCGCCTCCAGGTGATGATGATGGTGCTGCAGTGGGCGGAGTCTCACGCTCCTGTTAATAGGTTGAGGACCATGTGAAACAAGGCTCAAACTCGCTTGACAGTTAACTTTTCCTCACGAGACGGAGAGCAGCAGCTCGCAGGTGAGTCTCATCATCAGACTTCAGTTTAAAGTAAGCCTTAAGTATCGCGATAGTTTAATTTAACATTCTGTGTTTAATTCATTGCGTTGTGTCTAGTATGTTAACTTGTCACTCTAATGTGCTGGAAGGTGTCTTGCAGACAAATCGAGAATTGGTGTTAATTAAAAAAAAACAGCTGCAGTCATAAATCATTACTGTATAATAATAATAATAATAATAATAATAATAATAAGCATGTAATGGCATAAAAGTACCCTATAAATCGCGGTATATTGTAGGTTAGATAAGGATTAATTTAACATTGAATTCTTGTTGTAAAACACGGACATAATTTACTACAATTCATCAGAGACTTCGAGGGTTGAGTGATTGATATACAAATTATCATATTGTGAATTAATTATTCCTTTTAGTGAAAGTGCAGCAACACTAAAGTATTGTAAAAAAGACGATTAAATTAAAAGACACCTGTGGCTGCAGGACAGTTGGAGTCAGAAGACAAAATGCAAATCAGAATTTAAATGCATTCAAACTCCATGTCTTGATATAAACCATGTGGTTGAAATGGCCCAGACACTGCCTTTGTTAAAGGGAACAGAATACAATGACAGTCGTGTAAAAAGGTGATAGAGAAACTCGTTCGACAGATGTGACCTTACAGGAAGTCAGACAGCCTTGTCATACATATTAAGATCAACATTGACTTTCCTGCAAGAAGCATCAGGAGTTAAACCTGCAGGACGTCCAATACTCACTGAGGAAATGTAACTTGTGTTCCCATTAACGTAAATTAAAGCGACTGAAGCTGTGTGGAGATAATCCGATTGTCCAATGGTGTGTACATATTCATTCAGTCAAGCTGTCCTCCAGCGACCAGCAACAAACAGCCGCCTGATGCAGGAACCCTCATACTACAGTGTGGAGTCCACTGGTAGTGTTGCTAACAGCAAAAATAATGCTGTTACTAGAGAGCAGCTGAGATGAGATAAATGCAGCCTTTAATCGTCCAAATACCATTTTGCAAGCTTGGTCTAATGAGACATGGTGCCAGACAACCAATCAGCAAATATAGTAATGTTAGTTTCCTTTAATAATAAGCCAACTGTAGTTTCATTTAAATATGTTATTTGGGGTTGTGAGAAGCAGATGTTCTTACAATTTGAGACCAAACTATTAATTGATTTAACTGAGAAGATACAAATTAGCATAACAACTGCATTATAACACATGTTGATGCCACCCATTTCTTACAAGAGGTGATTGTGAAAATAGATGCTGTCCTATAACCTTATTGCTTTTGACAGCAGTAGCTCTATCATGCAAACATGCCCACTGCTTATCATGCTTCAATACCATTTTTGAAGGGGGTTAATTGAAGTAGCAGAGGCTGAGATTGAGCACTTAATTATCATGCAACCTGATAAAAACTATAATTGACTGTGCTTTTAGAGACGTCAAAGTTTGTAAGTTCATTAAGTTGCCTTTAAAGACATGAGACTAATCAGTGGTCTAAGCAGGAGTGAGTCTGAATGAAAGCACTTGTTGGACTCTCTTATATAATCCATCCCCCTTTAACAGCAATTAAAGCTGTGTCACTCCACTTGACTCAGCGACGCCAGCTGTTTGTCATTCCCAAGCTCCTTCACCCTCTGAAAAAGCTACAACATGAGGAAACAAAGGCTTTCTAAAAGGCTGTGCTGTGCAGGTGCATCGGAAAGACGAAATGAAAAGAAAAGAAACGTATTTGTATGTGTTTACACAGCTTGCAGAGTGCTGGATATAACCGGGGGATGCATTAATCAAGACCAAAACCTACTGACCTTCATGCATATTTTTTGACATTTAAAAACTAATTTTACTTTAGTATCAGGCCAAATAGAAAATGACGTAATAGTTCAAACAGAAGGTCAAAGAAACTAGTAGATGTTCCCTCATCATAGGAAGTACTACTGAATCTGTACAAATGTTTTAATGACAAAGAAAATGTCATAGTTTGGTTTGTTAACAGTTATTTCTTGATCTTAGAAACAGAAAAAAGGCCAAATCAAAGAGATGTGGAGACGTTGAACCTGCAGGTTGTCAAACTCAATTTCATCGCGGTCCACATTCGCGTAAAGGTTGCACTCAAAGGGCCGGTTGTAACTATATAAATAAATATATAATAATGTATTATATTACATTATTGCCTCTGAATTGGATTATTATCGGATAGGATAATAAAACTTAGTAATTAACTACGTCTGAAAGCAGAAGTCCAGGGCAAATAATTGCAAGTCTCTTCAGTGCGCATGTCACAAAATGAGATGCATTGTGGGACATGTAGTTTATGGGCAACCTGCTTCTGTAAAGTGGCATGTAACCGTATAATAAACGTATTATATTCTTTGCAAGCTCTTGCGGGGCCAAATCAAATGAAGTCGCGGGCCGGATTTGGCCCCCGGGACTTGAGTTTAAAGAAAGACACTGCTAAGTTGCATTATGGGAAATTAATGTAAAATCTCAAATTGGTTACAACATGTTGTGCATTGCTTTGGAAAATAATGATATCTTTGTTTGTTGCAGGATCCAGGTGCCCCTAAATCAAAACCGAGCGACAATGCACCGCCATTTCGCAAGCTGTCAAACTGCAGCCTGCATCGACTCCCAAAGTTAACAAAGGAACAATAAGCAGATTTCTCCCACTGCAGCTTTTAACTGCTTTATGCTGTATAAATGACAATGTGCAAATATATGTATATGAGGATTACTTTAAGGTGAACAAATTAGATGCTATTACAGGTTTATCTGCACATGCATTTTATACTTGGGGTCATAGAAAAATAAGTGCCAGATATTGTACGTTGACAAAGCCTTCCCTTCGTTGAAGACCTACAAAGCTGCTGAAACATGGCCCCCGCCACCATGGAAGTGTTAGACATCTCCGTCGTAGTGATGTACTTCATCGTGGTGCTGGCGATCGGTTTCATCGCCATGCGGAGAGCCAATAAGAACACGGTGGGCGGATACTTCCTGGCCGGTCGCTCTATGAACTGGGCGGCCGTAGGAGCGTCGCTATTCGTCAGCAACATCGGGAGCGAGCATTTTATCGGACTAGCCGGGTCGGGGGCTGCTAGCGGTTTTGGCGTGGCAGCGTGGGAAATAAACGCCCTGTTGCTGCTGCAGTTATTAGGCTGGGTATTTATCCCCGTGTACATTCAGTCCGGAGTCTACACCATGCCGGAGTACCTGACAAAGCGATTTGGCGGGAAACGGCTCAAGGTGTATTTTGCCGTGCTGTCCCTCGTGCTGTACATCTTCACCAAGGTGTCCGTGGATCTGTACGCCGGGGCCTTGTTCATCCAGGAGTCCTTAGGGTGGAACCTCTACCTGTCAATCATCCTCCTCATCGCCATGACAGCTCTACTGACGGTCACCGGAGGTCTGGTGGCTGTCATCTACACGGACACCGTCCAGGCCTTCCTCATGATCGCCGGAGCGCTCTGCCTCACGAGCATCAGCCTCTTCAAAGTGGGAGGACTAGAAGGTGATTATGCATTGAATTTAATTCCATGTGACAGAGGTGGGAGAAGATGGAGAAAATATTGTACTTAAGGGAATATAAAGGAATACTCTGTTACAAGTAAAAGTCCTGCATCCATAATGTTACTTAGGTACAATAGCACTTTTATTGTCATTTGTCATAGCTACAGTGTAGTTATGACAATGAAAATCTTAGGTCACAGGCTCCTCCAACAGTGCAACACAATACAACAGATACACTTGTGCAAGTTTTTTACAGATTGGCTAATATACGTATATCACTAAAAAATATCTATCCAAAGTAAATCTATTTGACACAACTGCCATGCGATCAACTGACTGCCATCTCACACTATATGCTTTTCTTTAAGGTTTGAGGACCAAGTACATGCAAGCTTCTCCAAACATCACGGCCATCTTGCTGTCTTCGCCAAACCTAACGTATTCTGCCTCCTGCCACCTCCACCTTCACCCCAAACCAGACGCTCTGAAGATGCTTCGAGGCCCGAGGGATCCAGACCTGCCGTGGCCCGGTTTCCTCCTGGGCCAGACTCCTGCCTCCATTTGGTACTGTCCAAGTCCTTTCACCAACACTGACCTCCCTAACTGGTTCAGTTTCACGTTTAGTTTATGTGTGTCTAAAGTGTCACACTTGCTATAATGCTACTTTATGGTCTAATTGTTAAATCTAAGCGTCCTCTCCTGTGTTCTAGGTACTGGTGTGCAGATCAGGTGATCGTTCAACGGGTTTTGGCAACGAAGAATATTGCCCACGCTAAAGGAGCCACGATCATGGCCGGCTTTCTGAAAATCCTCCCCATGTTCGTCATCGTCATCCCAGGTAGATGATGCTGCATATTCACACAAAGTTGTCACACAATTTCAACTTTATGAAAAATAATAGTAAGGTTGATGAGTCAAAAAATATACAAAAAGACAATTGTCGACTTTAAGTAAGTCAAATGTATTTATAAAGCGCTTTTCACAGACATAGTCACAAGGTGCTTGACAAAGAATTAAAACATCATACAAATGAAGAAGTGCTAAAAAACCTAATACATACAATAATTGTCCATACATGTTTACTTTTTGCCCTCTGACCTTGAGTAGCCGTTATCTCCCTTAAGGAGGGGCTGCCCTAGCAAGTTGTTGTCGTTGTTGTTACCAGTTTGTGACCGGGCAACTCTCGGTCAGAGATAGTTATTGTTGTGGGACACCTGGAACACATCCTTCTCGGGGTGTTGATGACCTCGAGCCATAAGCGACAACAAATGTGATTCAGTGTCCACAGCTGTTTAGTCTAACCAGGGGCGGACTGGTCATTGGGAATACCGGGAGGTTTTTTTTTTTGCCTAAATCCTACCGGCCCACATTTGTAAGTGGGGTGTGGCCCACACCCCACTGGGCTGGGCGGGGCCGATTTAGTCCCTAATTTTGCTCTCAAAGTGCACCAGATTGATTTCTTCCCGGGGGAGCATGCCCCCGGACCCCCCTAGAGGAGGTGAGGTCCACCACCTGCCCACACCCCCTGTCAAATTGTCCCACCCACATTGAGGATGCTTCCTACGCCCATGTGTCAAGTCAGGCAAATTGGGTCCAAATGTTATTGCATCAATGATCTGTTAACATTAAAATCACTAAATATAACTATTTTGCTCTAGGCAACTCAAGGGCTCAGGTAATGTGATTACTACATGAATAATGGTCCAAAATAACATCAAATGCATAGGTTTTTTTGTTAAGTAACATACTTTCGTCGCTGGCCGGCCGATACATGCCGCGCATTAAGTGGGCCTGTCTGTCAATTAATCCCCGGGCCACTTTTTCCCCCCAGTCCGCCCCTGAGTCTAACTAATGAAGAATGTTGATTACCCTTAGCGAAACTAGTTAAAACATCATGCGAGAGGAAGGTTTCTTCAGAATTGATTGTGGCATCTCAACCGTGTGGTCTGGCCCTTTGACATGTCTTGTGAATTCTCCGGCCGAACCTCCAAATAAATCGTCAGTGTTTGCCATCAAAGCTCCAGCTCTCCTCGTGTCTCTCTGAGTCTTGTTTCCAATGTATTCAGAAGTTTCCCCCGCAGTCTTTACATACAATTGCTCTCTGACACACTTCACTACTTGACTAGCAGATCACTAACTATATGAGTCATGTGTGATCTGATTTCAGGGATGATCTCCAGGATCTTCTTTGCGGATCAGTTGGCGTGCATCAGCCCGGAGCACTGCCTGGAGGTGTGCGGCTCTGCGAGCGGCTGCAGCAACGTAGCCTACCCCCGCCTCGTCATGCTGGTGATGCCCGTGGGACTGCGAGGCCTCATGATGGCCGTCATGATCGCCGCTCTGATGAGCGACTTGGACTCCATCTTCAACTCGGCCAGCACCATATTCGCCCTGGATATCTACAAGATGATGAGGAAGCAGGTGTCGTCCCGGGAGCTGGTGTTCGTCGGCAGGTTGTTCGTGGTTTTCATGGTGGTCATCAGCATCGCCTGGGTGCCCGTGGTCATCGAGATGCAGGGAGGCCAGATGTTCTACTACATCCAGGAGGTGACAGACTACCTGACTCCTCCTATCGCTGCTCTGTTCCTGCTGGCCGTCCTGTGGCATCGCTGCAACGAGACGGGCGCCTTCTGGGGCAGCTTGGTGGGGTTCGTCCTTGGATCGGTGCGTCTGATTTTGGCATTGGTTTACCGGGAGCCTCGCTGCGACCAGCCCGACGACCGGCCCTCCTTCATCAAAGATATTCACTTCATGTACGTGGCGGCCATATTGTTTTGGGTGTCAGCTCTTGTGACTGTCGTTGTGAGTCTGTGCACTCCTCCGCCGGATCAAGAACAGATCAGAACCACCACCCTGTGGGGGTTAAGGAGGAGGAAGAGACTGAGGGAGAAAGCGGGGGAAGATATGACTGCTTTGAAGCCTCTGAACCATGCAAACGGTTTGACTGGGAGAGAAAAGAGTCCGGATCAGCAAGACAACGTGATCGAGGCAAATCATGAGGAAACTCAGCCAAGCAACGGTCACGCTGTCATAGTCGGGGATTTAGCTTCTGATCCATCAATGGAAGAAGAGGGAGAAAGGAAGGGAGTGGGGGAGGAGGATGGCTGTCTTGGAGGAGGAGTCGTGGAGGGAGGGAAATGTTTGAAAGCTTTAGAGTTTGTCTGTGGTTTCAAGGAGAAGCCGTCCCAAGCTCGGGTCCTCAGCGCTGAGGAACAGGAGCAGATCCTGGAGCAGCTTCTGCACGAACCTCGAAGAACCAAAATCCTCCTGAACACGGCACTGCTGGCCATTTGCTTTGTGGGCATCTTTATTTTCATCTACTTCTCCTTATAGGCTGGGACATGTTGCTCCATAAACTACAAGCAATAATGAACTAAAGGAGGGAAACTATGCTGCAGTTTCTCTTCAACTGTAATGAAAAAAGAGCATTGGGAACAGGTTCAGTAAACGGCAAAAATTTGAGCTACGACCCCAAAAATATTTTGGTTTTGATCAGGCTCGGGAACCAATTCCAATAACCAACCAATAAGAACTTTGTTGTATTATCAAATGGATTGTATACACTATATTTGTCTATTTGATTAAGTGTCCACTTTAATATACTCGCAACAGAAGTGGATGGAAATACAAATGAATTCACATTTTTATATTCTGCTCGTTGTGAAGGTTGTTCTTAACGCTAGAAGATTCTCTTTCAAACACTGTATCATAGGTACCACTAAATTAAATAATCCTCTTTTTATAGGGGACTATCGGGAGGTCTGTCGCAGTATAGAGTTAAACAAAAAAGGCGTATGGTGCAGTGGGTAGTGCGTTGGTGTTTGGATCAGGGGGTCACAGGTTCAAACCCCACTGCATGTCCTTGTGTCCCTGAGACACTTCACCCCAAAGTGCTCCTGTGGGGATTGCCCACAGTATTGAGTATGTAAGACGCTGTGGATAAAAGCGTCTAACAAGTGACATGTAATGTAAAAAAAGAAGAAGATATAATTGTATGAATTAGTGGAGCAAGCACAAAGGTACATTTTGCAGTTTTGCCGAGTGCAACTTAAAGTATTTTTATATTTTGTTACTACAAAACGTCACTTCCTTTTGCTTTGTGGGATGTCTGCGAACACTAGGATTTAAATGATCCTTTGATGTTTTAGATGTTTCCTCTCAGTCTTATACATTTCAATGCAGTGTTACTATAACACCTTTGTGACACCTCTGTAAGACCATGAGAGCTGCACAAGGATGTGTTGGGAAGAATAAGGACTTAATTGTAAATTGTCATATATTTTTGTAATAATTGCTGATGGCCAGCCTGATTTCCAACACTTTTCTCTTCTCCTGTTTTAATCCAGTATTTTTTAATGCAAAATGACATTTTGGACAATTTCTATGCAAGTTTAAGTACAAATAACTTGAGGGGTATTTCTAAACGTGGCTATTGTATAAATGTTTCATTGGCTGTTAAGGGCTTGTAAATGTTCACTGTGAAATTAATTTTCTACAATATAATCTTCCCATAACTTTGCACATACAGTAATCCCTTCTGAACTCGATACCTTCCCGCACTTCGCTCTATGCAAAAAGAAACGCCTAATTTAACTGGTTGTTCTGGTATAAATCTGGCATTAGCCCTTCATCAAACAAACACTGTAAACATGACAAACTGTCACTTGGAATAATGTCAACCTCTACAGGATGGATTGGTTCACAGAGGATACATCCTATTGCTTTTTGAGACCCTTTGATTGGTCTTCAATCAACACCATTAGATAGATATTTGTTTTTTTGAAAATACCTCCGATTATTGGCTGGATTTCCAGGACATTTGGTGATTTTAATATCTTCCATTGGCTTTTTATCAAGCGGGGATATGCTCATTATTTTTGTTGTCCAATAGTTTTGTTTATGACTAATTACATGCAAAGCTAATGACCTTCCTACCAGCATCAAATGTACTCTTAGTGCTAATTAGCAAACGTTAGCATGAACCAAGATGGTTGGATCTGTAAACATCAGCATGTAAGCTTTATCATTGAGACCATTATGCCCCCACTTTGTAATGCTGGCTTTCTCTTATTAAACTTTTCCAAAATGCAAATGTTGGCTGCCTCGTCTGTTTGGGATGCGTCATGTCCCGGAGAGTTTGATCTGATAACAGCAGGGCGAGGCTTAAGGAGGGGAAAACCCAGCGTTCAGATTCAAGGGGAAAGTTAGTCAGGTGTTCTGATATACTTTATTAATCCCCGTGGGGAAATTGTTTCTCTGCATTTGACCCATCCTAGTGTTAGGAGCAGTGTGCCGCCATTTTGAACGGCGCCCGGGGAGCAGTGTGGGGAACGGTGCCTTGCTCAGGGACACCTCGGTAGCACTTGGTCTTGCCGGAGACTTGAACTGGTGACCTTCCAGTTGCCAAGCCAAGTCCCTATCGACTTCACCACCACCGCCATACGTTCTTCGAATGTATGCGCTTGATCCTGATTGGTCAAATTATTGCATTATTTCCCATTCATCTCAATCAAAGTGTGCTTAGTAGTCTAAATGAATCATCCTCTATAACAGACTCACTATGTTAGAAATATTTTGGAAATGTACCCATTATGTACTGGACATCTATATGATATAAAAACATGCGTCCCTGAGGCGTGACAATGACCCAGCAGGTCATAGCGAGTGAAGCAAGCTGTGTCACGTTCTCTAGTAAAGTCAGCATAACACGTAAACATAGCACTACTCAGTGAGTGAGGATGACATTAAACAGCCTCGCCGCAGTGGAAAGTTACAGACTGAAAGTGGAAAGTTACCGGGTAGACACATGCCACATGTCTTTGGTGTATTCAAGTTCATAATTCTACAATACATGCTGCTGCCAAGTTCATGTTCTCAGGAAATGTCACCTTCTTACTTCATGCATTTGTAATCATAAAACAAGACAGGAAACGCTCAGAGTTTTAAGTGAATTAAGAAATGACACAGTAAGTAAACAAACGTATTTAATTAGAATTGTAGATTGTAATTGAAAAGGTGTGTAAACAATGTTGGAAATCAACAAAAAATGTTTCCTTAAGAACCAAATGTGTTCCAACCTTGATTATCTAAAATAAATAATATGAATCTGGTTGTTTATGTGAAGCTTCAGGACATATTAAAAAGAGACATTTAAACTACATGAGACACTAACCTGCTCGCCACTGAATACATTTCTTGTATGTGTGTCAAGGGAGCGGGCGATTATAAAATTAGTGCCCCAATTGGTACTGACTATAAACCACAAGGATTTGTTTGTTTGTGTTTGTTTGTGGTTCACAGTTTATAACCTACAACATGCTGGGAAATCATAGTGTTTAGTTTTGAGACAACCACCAACCAACATGGTCAGTATGTTGTTCAAGAAACATCTCTGAGACTGGGAGGTTTAGAAGTGTGTCAGAAAAACCAGCGCATGTGCACAAAATTGGAAAAACAACACCAACCGTTTTCACTTGAGTGCTTGACAGATTAGAGAAAAATGGTCAGAATTGAAAGAGCAGAGATGCCATGACTTTTAGAAGAGATTCAACTGTGTTGTCATTGCACAGAAAAAAACATGATAAAGAGGTAAAGTGTAGAGTTGTTCTTATAGTCTTATTTCATCATTCACTGCAACTGATGATTATCACATTAAGAGAGGCAAGCTATACGTGTGCACAGGGCCGTCCCTGGCCAACGTGAGGCCCCACTCAAAGTTATACGATGAGGCCCTCTGTTTCGCGAGCGACAACGGGGGGTGGTTGGGGTGGTGCTAGGTTCTAGTGGAGCCTCGCAGCGGCTAAACCGTGCCGCGCCACACTAATTGCGCCGCATAAGCGCATATTTTCTGCTCAGTTGAGGCACCCTCCGCAAGGTGAGGCCCCACGCTGCCACGCAGTCTGCATGATCGGCCTGCAGGGAGGGTGCGTGTGCATACTTGCTCGTAATACATTTTATTCTGTGCCTATGCGAAGACATGTCCAAATCCTAAATAGATTTTCACACGGTTTAAAAAAGCCAATTGTGGTCCAATATGCCACTCATTTCTGACCTTTAGGCGAAAAATAACCATTAGTGGCTCTTTCAAAGCTTAAGTAGACATTTGAGTCCCATCTTCTTTGAACTGGTCCTCCCAATTTGTCTACTAAATTAATGGAATATAAAACACAAAACTGAGGCCAAAGCAAAACTGTGGAAACCGTTATTATTCATTTCCACCACAAGTGGGAAGCCTTTCTCCAAACCCACAACCACGGGCCGTCCAGACATGAACAGGGAGTTTCCTTTCATAAACTGCACTTTGCTAAACTGTAAATATATAAGGATCTATATAAGGATCAGGATTTAGGAATAAGTTTGAAAGATTCCCCACAAGACACATCAGGGTTGCCAACTCTCACGCATCTGGCGTGTGACACACGCTTTCACTCTCAATCTCACGCTCTCACGCTGCCCAAACTATTCTCACGCCAAAAACAAGAATACCGAAGACAAGAAACGGTTTTGAGTCAAATGAGTCACTGTGCCCCCCCAACGCGGGCAAGCCTTACCACTTTGCCGTTTTTTTTTTTTTTTTTAATCATATAAGTGAAAACGTTTCCACTAAAGGTTTTTTGTGTGAAATACATCAGAAATAAAGAATACAAATATAAAACACAGCCTGAGGTGTGCTCACTGCTGCTCTCTGATTGGTGTGTTGCTTGACCAATGACCCCCGACCTTTGTTTTGTTATCATTACGTGGCTGTGTGTTTAGATGAAAGCCCAGTGGCGATCTGTTAATCTGATTATACAGTAAAGCCATCGAAAATAATATGATATACAGTACAGTACAAGAAGCCTACTTCTGGGTCTCTGTGTTTCATTCAAGCTCGGCTCTGTGTGTGTGTGGCACGAGCGCATGTTGTGAGTGCACGAGCGGTAACGTGGAATGTTGTTGTTAACATCTGGTTAGATATAAAGAGCTGTTTCTACACCAAGGTGGAGGAGAGTCCTCTCCTGTCAGACTGAGAGGATCGTATAACCTCAGCTCAGTGAGGTAAGGACTCTCTCAGTGTTTAGATAGGTCACTTTAGTGTAAATTATCTCAGTGGGTCTCAAATGTGGGTCACCATTTATGTAAACAAGTATTTGCGAGGAACACCTTTATATGATCATTATAGTTATTAAAAAATAAGAGAATAAATGAAAAACGGGTATGAAATACTATAGGACAGTAACACAAGAATACAGTTTAAAAGGGGAGTGATTAGTAAAATATCCATAAAGAAAAAGTAAATCTGTTTACAGTTCTGTTTCAAATGGGTGTTGAGAGATGTATCCATAGATCTCTTCATTTTGCTCTCAAAGTGCACCAGATTGATGCTTTTAACTTCAATATTTAAAAAATAATCTTCCCGGAGGAGCATGCCCCCAGACCCTCCTAGAGGAGGTTAGGTCCACCCCCACCTAAAACATGTTCACATGGATAGGATACTAAATACATTTGCACACATGGTGGCCTATGTCCATATGTTTCTGTTTTGGTGGGCGTGCCACAACCGTGCATGTATGCACAAGTTGTTAGGAAAATAATTGTCCTAGACTCCAGATATGACATGCATGACCAACCCTGACGTCTGTTATCTCCTTTAAGGAGATAGGCTGCTTCAGCCATAATGTTGTTGTTCCCATTCTATGACCAGGCAACCCTAGGTCACAGATGGTTTATTGTTGTGGGTACACTGGGACACTTCCTTCTCTGTGTGGACTCCAAGGTGTGAAATCTTCGAGGCCATAAGTGTCAGACGCAAGTAACTCAGTGTTCCCAACTGTTTAGGCTATCTTCTCAAATATGTTGATTACTCTCTGCGAAACCGGTTAAATGGGCTGACGAGAGAGAGGCATTCCAGAATTGACGTGGCAACTCTCCCGTGCAGTCTCTGGCTCTTGGACTTGTGATGTGAATTCTCCGGCCGAAGCTCCAAATAAACCATCAGTGTTTGATATCAAAGCTCCTGCTCTTCCCGTGTCTCCTTCATGAGTCGGTGACTCCCACTGCATTGCTACAGGGGCGGTTCTAGGGGGGGCCAGGGGGGGGGGGCACTGCCCCCCCCCCCTGGCCCCCTAACACTGACCTCTGACCCCCCTGTGGCCCCCCTAACAATGAAAAGGTTTTTTTTAATTTTTTTTTAAATGTATATTCTCTGGTACTCGGTTTGCCAAAATCGCAGGATTTTGTTTCTGTAATGTGAGATTGTGCAGACACCCTTATGTAAAGTAGAGATGTAACTGTTCATTGCCTTTATTTTTATATAAATATGGTGTTAGTGCAAACATTGCACTATAACTTAAGCTGAAGCTAACATTAATAACTATAAGATCTATCTGAAATAAATAAGTGTACTGAAACAAATACCAATAACTGTATTGCATTGTTTTCTTATGCACAATTACTTCATACTGTCTAGTTCTCTTTTTCGTCCTGCATTTATTGTGCCCCCCTCAGAAAATAACTGGCCCCCCAGTGGCCCCCCCAGTCAAATTGGTCTAGAACCACCACTGCATTGCTACACAGAAGTTTCCCCCACACAAGTCATGGTGCGCTATAAAATAGCACTACACCCCTGCAATGTTTTTTTTAATTGAAGTTGCGTTGGTGTTTGTGTGTTGGTTGTTGACGGCAGTGTGTGCCCCCCCTTGGTAAATGATTGCCCCCCCCATTCGATTTGTTCTAGAGCCGACCCTGGATACAACATTACGTGTTGATATAAATCAACACGTAATGAAATAAGACCCCATGGTTTGATGATTGATAGGTGTGTTGACTGTCTTTCATTTTGACACACAGAACAATGGGGGCTATCCACCCTTATGGATAAGGGTAGAGGAGGGAAGAGGCTGTGTGAATGACGTTACATTGTGAATGCACAATGTAAAGTAATTCACACAACCTCTTCCCTCTTCTCTCTGTGAGGAGCAGCAGGTTCAGCTTTCAGAACAAAGTAACACAAAACTAAAATGGCATTCATTTTTTAAATATGTCGTGTAGTAATAGCCTACATTTATTTATTTTCTTCTCAAGAGAGTACCAGAATGTGTATTTTATGTTAGTATTTCAAAAAATCTCCTGAGGGAGAATCCCCCCAGACCCCCCTGCAGGGGTTGGCTTTTCAGCATGTCAACTCTTTCACCTGTGGAGAAATTGCAGGATTGGCTCCAGGTCGCCCTTTTTATTTACTTCAAGACAAATGTGCCTTTTTATTTCATACAGTTCAATTTGGATTGAGACAGGGAAATAATCTAACCCTCACGCGTGGCGTTTCACTGTCAAGGGGAGCGTGTATGTAATTACATTGCAAATACTGACTTGAGCCCCACCACTGTATGGGTTATCCCTACCATAGATTACGCAACAAAAATACTCTGGAGCCGCAACTGCCGACCAGTATTGCGCATGCGCATGCGCAGATCTAAGATCCAGTAGAAATGATAAAAAAGTAAAAGTCTGCTGCTTATTGTTCTACTAGGCCAACATAGAGTCAAAGAGTCTATGAGAGTGAGAGTGTGTTAATTAATATATTTGGCAGTTTGGAGTAAGTCTGTAGATTTGTTTGTGTGTGTGTGTTTCATGTACAGCTCTCACGATAATTAATTTAGTTGGATACATTTTCCCGGAAATTATTGCGATAAACGATAATATTGTCGGCACCGTTGTATGACCATTTCAGACCACTGACATAATGATAATATATAATAATAATTCAGGTACATCCTTTCAAACTGCTAGTCACATCCTCATATAAATGGCAATTTATCGAGTTCATTTTTATTTATCGTACGATAAGTCAATTAATTGCTTATCGCGACAGGCACACAATAAAACAGTGGAAACAAACATGTGTTTGACTTTCATTAGTGAATGAAACTGTGTGCCCTTTATAGTCTGTGTCCAATATTGTGTATTTGTATATATTGCTGCTGCCGCTGCTGACACGATAGCAGTCATTTCGTGCGCATATGTGTAATTAAACCCATGATATCAAAATCTCACTCCAGCCAGGTACCCAAAGTTGGCAACCCTGGACACATTCAATTGATACATTTGCTAAAATAAGGCTGAACATAAACCTACTTTCCAGCCAAGATCAGGCCCGGACTGGCCATCGGGAGGACCGGGAGGTTTCCCGATGGCCTGGTCTGCTAAGTGGCCTGCTGGCCTGAGGATTTTTTTTTATACGTATGTATTGTGAACGCAACTTTCATACAGTTCATACTAATACCCTCGATTGGTCTGTGTCATTCAAGCTCGGGAGGGTGTGTGTTATGTGTGGCGCGAGCGAGTGAGATAAAGCACGCGCACCGGTTACGTGTATTGTTGTTGTTAGCATCTGGTGCTAGCTAGCTGCGCTAACGGATACAAGGAGCTGTTTCAACAACAAGGTGGAGGAGAGTCCTCTCCTGTCAGACTGAGAGACTGATAACTACAGCTCAGGTGAGGTAAAGGACTCTGAGTGTTTAGATAGTTAACTTAGTCTAAGTTATCTCAGTGGGTCTCAAACGGTTTGGTCACCATTTATGTAAACACATATTTCCATTTGAGGGGGGAGTGATTAGTAAAATATGCATGAATAATAAAAAAAAAACGTTAACTAGGTGAAAAAAGGTAAGATAAACTTTTTAAACTATCTTTGCTGCTGCCTCAAAGAGGAGCAGGGGGAGAGGGGGGAGACAGGTGAGGCTGGTTCAGGAGCCCAGACAAACTCACAACTATAAATGAACCAAACACAAATAAATAAACAAGTTTCAATGTTTTTTCATATTGGATATGGGATGTTATTGGTTATGGCCACGTTCTTATGATTTTATGATTATTTAAATATATACTGTTCTGTTTCATATGGGTGTAGTCTCTTTATTTCCCCCTCAAAATGCACCAGATTGATGCATTTAAGTCCAACATTTATACCGGACCCCCCTATAGGATTTGAGGTCCACCCCCACTTATAATATGTTCACATAGGTTCCTAAATAGATTTGCACATTTTTTTAAATAGTAACCCATGTCCATATGTTTATTTTGGGTAGTAGATTTAGAAGGATATCACTATGGGCAGCAACGCTGTAAATATTGACAAATAAATCCAGCAAAATGGCACAAAAAACTGGTAGTGGCCTGGCTGGGTGTATAATTCCCGGCCTGACTTATTGTCCCAGTCCGGCCCTGGCCAAGATTGATAATGACCTTTCAGCTTTATAAAAATGTGTGTTCAGCATGGGAAGTCTCAGGGCCGCCCCTCCCTACAGGCCAATCACGCAGGCTGCATGGGGCCCCGCCTTGCCCAGAGGGCTTCAGCTGCTGTGCGCAGTTCTCCGCTCAGTTCTCTGCGCACCCCCCGCGAGAGTGAGAGTGAGAGGTGACAAGGGGAGCACGTCTGTAACCCGATACCGTTGCAATGAAACGACATCTGACCAATCACGGCTTTGATACGGCCACTAGTGCAGGTGAAGAGATGTCGGTGAAAATACAGTTTCAGTCCGGCACAAGCAAGAGGGAAAAAACAAAACATGAAGAAACTATAGCATCACTCGAAGGTGGGTTATTGTATGAGTCAAATGTACAACTTGCGAATGTTGTATAAGCAAATTGCCAATTGCCATATTAAAACATCAGCTGCAATTCACGACATGAAGAAGGCAGTCTCTGCAGAGCATACAGGCTAATGGAGATGCAGTTATTTCCAGCATTCTTTATTTACCATTCATTCAAGTATGTGATGCCTTTTATCTGCTGATGTACAGGAGGAAGAGTGATACACTGTCTGTCTAGTTGGCTTACATAACAGTTAAAGTTTACAGCCTAAAAAACATGGAGCATTTTTCCCCCTTTTATTTATGTCAATTTGCACATTTCATGGTGATGCTCAGCCACTCCCCTTAAGGCAAGGCAAGGCAAGTTTATTTATATAGCACCTTTCAACACAAGGCAATTCAAGGTGCTTTACAAAAATGAAAGACTTCCAGACAAAGGCATTTAAAAACAGTAAAAGATAATAAAAGAAACATTAAAAGAAAAAATACATGAATAAAAAGTACATGAATAAAAAGTAAACTTTAACTCCTAACAGTCATCATCATGTCAACCACAACACAGAGAAATACTGATAGAAATGTGTGTGTAGTTGTTGATACATTGCTGACAGAGGGAACTACATTTGAATACAGATTGAAGAAATATCAGTTTTTGAGCATGTCATAAGCATGTTTTATCTTGACTATATTACAATTATATTATAATAAAATAATATAGTATTTATATTATTGATTATGATTATTAGTAGAAGTAGTTTATTTGCATTCATTATATTTTAATCTTTTTGAGGCTAGTATTTGGCAGGAAATGCAGACGTATTCACCTGTAAATGCATACTGAACGACATACATGCACATTTACCATTTACCTATCTGTATAAAAAAGTAACTGTTGATAATAATAATAAACAGGAATTATATTTGCAAAGTAGCCTACTTTGTTTCCAAAAAAAAAAAGTTCACTCCTGTCGGTTGGGGGGGGGGGCCTCATCTCACAATGTTGCTTGGGGCCCCAAGTTGGCCAGGGGCGGCCCTGAGTCTTATAAACTAATACATTTAACTGGATGACATCTGATAGTCATCCATGCTGGTAATCTGCACTTTACTGTAGTGAAGGTATCGCGACAAACTGTGGTTAAAGTCTCGCGTGTTTTGGATTAACAACATCTCATGCATCAATCAAGTTAAGGGTTGTGTGTGCCACCGGAAGTAAGATCAGAAGACAGATACATTTTTGAAATGTTACATAAGAGACCCGTTACATTCAATCAATCAATCGATATGTGAAATGTGCAGCAAATGGTTACTTTTATAAACAACACAACTAGCAATTATAAGTCCTATTTAATCAGAATCAGAATCGTTTTTAAAACCAAAAGTTTACACATACGAGGAATTTGCTCCGGTGTCAATGGTGCAAACACGAAGCATATATTTGCATTTAATATAGCGACATAATATATCATACAGATGAAGTTGTGTTGCACATATTATGTAACATAGTGACTTCAGTTTACCGACTTTAATTTTGACACAACCGGATGTGGATTGTCGTCTTTTTTCAGGCCAACTTAACTAGTGCATGACGGCCTCATCTTCGGCTAAAGAGCAAACCGACATCAGCTGAGTTTGCATGAAGTGCCATCCTTGTAGCTAAACAAATAGGAATTTATCATCACGTAAAATTCATGATTAGCATTTTACAACGGTACAGCTTGTAAAACCACTGAAACAACTGACGCAATCTGCCCAGAAACGCGTTAGAGGAGAAATAACATTGCATCAAAAACCCGGCTAACAAAGAGGATCTCTTTCAACGACAACATTTTTCCTCCGTATTCAATAGTTATGAGTCATGTGGCCGTCGAAAATGTCCACGGTCTAGAGCAGCAGGTAAAATGAATCTGTTTGTATTGTGTCTTGCAGTGTTTGTGGCGGAAAAGTTGTTTATAATCGTGTGGATATGTGCTAGCTTACCGGCTAGCCTAAAAGAAAAGCTAAGAGATGCTATCATGCTACCTAGCGTTGGGTGCGCTTCATTTAAACACCCACATGACCAGGAGTGACGGCGGGGCGGTGATGGAGCAGTACTTAGATTTATTTGAACCCGAATTGTCTGTTACATTATATTCATGTGGGCTACAGTAAAAAGCCATTCGACATGATACAAGAAAGCTTATTTTAGTAGCTTTAAATGACATGGCTTAAGAGCCGAATTACTATTTACGCCCGAATGCTTAATTCGGCTCTCCCCGGTGAACATATGAAACACCCCCTTCAACTATTTTGTTCACTGCGTTTCTCTTGCAGCTAGATACAGTAATAAAATGGAGGTTGCAGGGATGGTGGCTCTGACACACCAACAATGCGGGGTTTTACAGTACAGCTCTCTAGCTTTCAGTGCATAAGCATTATTGCATAGTTAGTCTTCACTGCGTCCCGCTTTAAAAAAAAAAGAAGCTCTTTCCTTCTGCGTCACCATCAACGTAGTCTAGTTGTGTCTGACTAGACAGACAGTTGGATGGCAACAGTAAAGTACTATATGTTCTCACTTGATATTATGCAAAGGTCTAATTGGCAACATGTATTTGAAAGCGTTGCGTACAACAAAACAAAGTCATTTTTTTTCTCTTAGGAAGCAAAAAAACCGACTCTGATAATGTTTTTTATGGAGAAATCAAACCTTGTTATTAGCTTAAAGCACTAAATATTGCAGTAGAGGAGCATTGCATACCCAGGACGGAAATGCACTATATTTATTACTTTTATTGTTTATTTCTGCACCAGAGTAAGGTAGAAACTAATTTGCATATTGTGTCCCTGCACAGGTAGTCACAAAACTAGCATAATAACAAATACATGACATAGAATCACATGTCCACCAGTGTGAGATAATAAAGTGGATCAGTATGAAAGGTACAATACGTACATGGTAATCATTGGATGTGACCCTTTTGTTCTGAGCTGAATGCAGTTTGTTGACATCGCCCTAATGGAATTTCTGCATGTCGAGTTTCAAATACTTTTATATATTTAATCAAATTAGGGCATCAGAAAAATGTTTTTTAATCTGGACATCTCAAAAACTGTTTCCCATGCTTTTTTTGCATTGCTAGTTCTGATGAATAATCCAAAAATACATTGTTGGCTTTTATTTCCAAGTAGGTGTCACCTGCAAACAAAATGCTTGATTTGTTCTGCTGAAATGACTGTATGTTTGTGTGTTTCCCCAGCTGGCTGTCCTAGACTTGAGTGGGGCAGACGGACAAGGTGGAGGCCCTAACCGTAAGCAGTTGTTTGAACTCCTTTTCCCTTCAAATAAATGTGCACAGGCACCCAAAACACTATGGCAACTAACCTGAAACAAGGAAGAGCTCCACAGAGAAAACATCAGGAAAGCAACCAAGGGGAACACTTTCTTTTTCTATTTACAGAAGTACAACATATCGTATTTCCTTGGTTTCTAGATTCAGAGGTGCACCACAGATCAATGCACGTTGGGTGTGTTTCAAAAGGTTTTTAACAATCCTTTAGGAACAATGAAGCTTCCAAAAATGGTGTGCAACAAGTTCAGTCAAAGCTGTCCTGTGGAGTTTTCTTGTTTGGTTTACATTTACTCACCAAAATCTATACATTGTGTGAGTCATTGAGCTTATATCCTTCCTCGTGAAAGATTTGCAAAGCCCATTCTTTTTTTTTAAACATTGTTGACATCAACGTTAGGTAGCTAGGCAGTCGCTTTCTTCTGTGCCTTTGCTCTTGCATCGCCACGTTTTCCACCACTAACACATCGAGGAGCCGCTGATAGAGAAAGTGTTTTTTCGCTACGCCTGCATGCTTGTGTCAAAGTATGCAAACAAAACGAGGGGCTGCTTGGAAAAACGTTGCTCCATAATGCTACCAGGGGTCAGAAACTCCACAGGGTACCTTTTTATCAAGTGCATTTAAAAAAAAAAAACACAACTAAAACACTTTCTTCCGTCCAGCAGGAAATGCCTTCGCTGCCCAGCGGCCGGGGGGATACACCATAGCGCCGCCAGCAACATGTGAGTCTAAATCTGCTGAAATCTGCATTTTCTCTACCAATATTCCCATCTGTATCACTCCTCACTGTGTTTTCTGGTTTGTTACCTCCTCTATGCGCCTTAAAATATACAGAATATACTAGTATACTCACTTATATACCATGTACTATACATACAAACATAGTGTCTACAGTACATATAGTGTCCTCTGAAACTAGGATCCCTTTTAATCTCATTATATTATGAGGTATATATTAAGATATTGAATAGACAATTATTTTGTATATATTGATTGTTGTGCTTTTATGTATGTCTTGATGTGTGCATATGTATAAATGTGTCTGATTGTGTGCATATAGGATATACATATTTTTATATTCGGGATTGTGGGAAAACATTTTGCAGATGGCTGGGATGCGGGTCGCAACAACTTTGTGAACGGCTACCATGACAACCGCATGGCTGGCGCAAACACATTTCAACACCGAGGTCCGCCTCGCATGGAGCGGGGCCGCGGTGGCATCGGAGGGGGTTACCGTGGCAACAGGGGCGGAGCCTTCAACCCCATCATCCCCGCGGTGCAACCAATGGCGTTCGCCGGCTACGAAAACAAAGGTGGGCTTCGGTTTTTACTGCAAGTTATTCGTATTTATTTGATATATTGTTAGATCTACCCTTGTATCCTGCCTCCTTTTTAAATCAGATCAGAATACCTGTATTATTCCCACAGAGGGGATTGTAAAACATTTTTTTTAAAGTATGTAATTATACAGATTTAAGAAAGACTGCTACACTGCACTACTTTTTAATATTTAATTATATGTTGCATTGTTGAAGCTAAAGCCAGAAGAATTGCATTGCTCTTTCTACACTGTAGCTTATGTGCATATGACAATACAACCTTTGAATCTTGATCTACTATATTTGTTGCAGCATGTTATTGGGCATACACATATAGATGTATATCTTTTTTATATTTAGTCTTTCTGCCAGATGCAGGTGGCTGGAACACGCCCAAGGAAACTTACGGCAATTTTGGCAACAACCGAGGGAAGTCTGCCTTCTTCAATCACACAGGAAACGCCAACAGAGGAAGGCGAGTAGAGATGAGACGCGGGGACAATAACGTGAAAGTCTAACTCTTTGGTGAACATGGTAGCGTAACTCTTGTTGTATCTTCTGTTGTGTTCAGGTTTGATCACGGTGGATTCAGTGGTGGTGGAGGAGGTGGTGGAGGCGGAGGAGGTGGAGGAGGAGGTGGAGGAGGAGGTGGAGGAAGTGGTGGTGGAGGAGGAGGAGGAAACAACCGCTGGGTGGAGGAGCCCAGAGAGGATGGAGACTGGGCCAAACCAACGGCACGAAACGAACGCCTGGAAAGGTGAGTCTGCAGCTCTACTCTCACTAAAGGACATATCAGGGGGGAACATTGGATTTAACAAGCTAGTCGTACACATGTTATACCAGTATGGGAGTGTAAACTCAAGCCATGTCTACTATTATTCTGAAAGCCAAAGGAGAATAACCAAAACTCAAAGTGCTGACACTATTTGTCATTAATTTAATTCCTTGGTTTTAGTTTTCCTGCCTTTTTCTCTGATGCGTGTTTTGACATTTCGAGACGTCACCATGAGTTTTTAAAATGTTGTTGGGATGTTTTTTTTTTATATAAACACCAGTTTAAAAGCACCAAGATGTATTGTTGTTTCAAACACATGGGCCATTGTTGAGGAACTTTGTTTAATTGCATGTCTTTGCTCCTGTTCTGTTCCCCTGCAGTGAGTTGTTCTCCGGCGGTAACACTGGGATCAACTTTGAAAAATACGATGACATTCCTGTTGAGGCCACGGGACAGAACTGCCCTCACCACATCGAGAGTGTACGCTGCTAACCTTGGATATAACAACATTGCATCTAATATAATCTGCATGAACGCTTTCCACGGCTCTCTGTTTTATGAATGTGTGTTTGCTGTGTAGTTCCAGGATGTGGACATGGGGGAGATCGTCATGGCGAACATCGCTCTCTGTCGCTACACCAGACCCACACCTGTCCAGAAATATGCCATTCCTATTGTCAAGTCGAAGCGGGACTGCATGGCCTGCGCTCAGACAGGTAGGACACACACACACACACACACACACACTAATGCATATAGGCAAGTGTATTTATACAGCACATTTCAACACAAGGCAATTGAAAGTGATTTACAAAAATTAAATACATTAAGAAACATTATCAAATGACATTTAAAAACACTCCTTTAAAAGCAAAGATACTTGAATTAAAGTTACAGCAGTTTGAGATACACACATCTGAAATGTTTAGGTTTGACTCTCAATCATTGCTAACTTTTTAGCAGCAATAGTTTTCAGTTGGTCTTTTCTAGGACTTTTTTGGTATCCTCCGCAAACCAGGGTCTTGAAACCAAAACGGCACTCGTAGGGGACTTCAACATAGGAGTCAGAATCATGAGATGATACTCTGAGATCTTTGACTTTGTGTCTGCAGGTTCTGGAAAAACTGCAGCTTTCCTGCTGCCGATTCTCAGCCAGATCTTCAGCGAAGGACCAGGAGAAGCTCTGAACGCAGCTAAAGCATCTGGACAGGTGAGGAATAAATAACCGTGCTTTATTTAGTAAAACACATAAATCTATTTGCTCGAGAACGTTTCTATTGATTTCTATTGTTTTATTGGAATTATACATCTTTAGAGTGGATACCTTGTACTTTTAGTGTATGAAGTTGACAAATAACAACACTACATATAGTTTAAATAGGGGATAAACTTGACAACTAATTGGCAAATGGTATTTAATAGCACACAATGCAGTATGTAGCTTCAACTCAAGACAGTCAAACTTCTATTAGGGACCATTTTCTAACAAATAGTAGAGAGTGAGTGAAGTAATGCGCCTAGTAAATTCAAATAAACAGTCTTTACTATTTCGTTTGAGCTCATATTCAGGTAAACATGGTTCTAAACTGTGCTAAAAATAACAAATCATCCACTGTTCCTGAATGGTTGTCATTGTATTACAGGACAATGGAAAGTATGGCCGTCGTAAGCACTTCCCCATGTCACTGATTTTGGCTCCGACCAGAGAACTGGCTCTGCAGATATACGACGAAGCCAGGAAGGTAATACAAACACACGAGCATGACATCACAACAAATGGAGATATATTTGTCCTTGTGCTTCTTTAACATTTTCGTTTCTATCTATAGTTCTCCTACCGCTCGAGAGTGCGTCCCTGTGTTGTGTACGGAGGCGCGGACATTGGTCAGCAGATCAGAGATCTGGAGCGAGGCTGTCACATGCTGGTCGCTACGCCTGGTCGACTGGTGGATATGATGGAGAGAGGCAAGATCGGACTGGACTACTGCAAGTAAGACGAACATGTTATGATATAAATGGCCGTCTGGGTTCAGATTAAAGGTCCCCTATTATACTGTTTTTCATTACTTTGTTATAGGTCTCAGATATACAGTATATAAAACATGTATAGATGGCAATACTGTATGTAACTATGGTCATGCTAATAAAGATATTGAGAGTACATAATACTCGTGTGTGTGTGTCGCCCCTCAGAGATATTTGGTTAAAAAGAACACAATGGTGCTCTAGGAGGAGATTAAGGTGGTGGTGGTGGTGGGGGGGGGGGGGAGTGGTTGCTGATTGGCTGCACAAGCTGAAACATCGTTATGACATCATAAAGTGGCCAAAATCTCATCGGCTCATTTTCATACAGGTTTTTATAGAAATGGATCAAAAAGAGAGAGAATCTTCCAGTCTCTTTCCACATGTTGATGTAGAAAAGACATGAAGAAGTGGATTTTGCATAATAGGTGACCTTTAAGCTTTATTCTAAATGTGACACCTCCTCTGTGCTTCTTCCCTTCAGCTACCTGGTCCTGGACGAGGCAGATCGTATGTTGGACATGGGATTCGAACCCCAGATCAGACGCATCGTTGAGCAGGACACCATGCCGCACAAAGGCATCCGACAAACCATGATGTTCAGCGCCACCTTCCCTAAAGAGATCCAGGTACAGTTACGATACGATAATACTTTATTGGTTAGATCATCAGCATCACAGCAGCTCCATGTGAAACATCAACATAGACAGATATCAAGACACAGTACATGAAAACAACATCGCAATCACTGAGAGAAAACCTGCTCGAAGAGCCGTCAGCGTGCATTCGATCTGGATTCAGCTCTGGATTTACTGAGAGGACAAACCGGAGCACAAAGGATGCTTCAGACTGACTTTATTGAATCTCCCATTAGATGGTAGCAGTTCATATTCTCTGGTCAGAGCATGCTTTGGGTCCCAGATGTTGTTGGACAGCCTTATTAGGTTGTTATGAGCTGAGTCATATAGTCTGTGACAGGGTTGACCAACAATTGCAGTATTTCCATCAAATGAAGGATTGCATGTTTTTCCTCCTTCCAGGTGTCTTTTTGATTCACTTGTTTTAGCATTGAAAGAAAGTGTTTAAAGGACCACTTATAGTCGTTCAATCCGACTGAAAGCTGCGGTTATCGGTCTAAATGTCCCGGTAAACGGCAGCACATTGATCGGTCACTCTGTGCTCCACTAACAGATCCTTGCCAGAGACTTCCTGGAGGAGTACATCTTCCTGGCGGTGGGCCGAGTGGGCTCCACCTCGGAGAACATCACCCAGAAAGTAGTGTGGGTGGAGGAGAGCGACAAGAGGTCTTTCCTCCTGGATCTGCTCAGCGCTACAGGTGAGACAGTCCAACACTAACAACAACATCATGTGTCCTAACACTACCAGACATTTACTTATGCTAACACACACACATACACACAGTGCGGTTTTATTTCCCCAATCCTTTTTACCATTATCATATTGTCCTGTCATCCCAGTCTATTTGTGCATTAAGAGTCGACAATTCTATATTATTGTGTTAGGAAGGCAAAAGTGAGGATGTGCATAAAAACAAATACAACTCCCACTTTACAACGAATGCTTTATGTCCCCTCCTTTTTAAAGTAGAAACTCATTAAGAGTTTGGGTAAAATAGGACGTTTTCTTTTGGTGGTGAACTCGATGTATTGATTGGAGGCGAACCTTGGGCACATGAGGAACATACAGGGTTGGTTTTCTACTGCTGATTGAGTGCAGTTGACATGTTGGTGGTTTGGTGTGGTTTTATCCAAAGTCATCCCCAGCGAGGTACAGGACAATACTGGAGACAACATAGAGAAACCTGGTAAGATCCTCAATGGGGACACAATCGTATCTGTCATTTCACGTTTTAAATAAGTTTGCTTGCCCCTTTTCGATGTTCCTCTCTGTGTACGGAGAATCCTTTTTGTTTATTCATATTATTTTCGGTTCTGTGTACCATTTCATGAATCCGGTTTGCTAAATCAAACATGCCTGTCGCTGTGGTGTCTCCATGTCAGACCCAAAGCCTTGATGGAGAGAGTCTGGTTATGTTTACGTCTCAACAGCTAGAGAGACCGTACAAACTGAGGCCAATACACCGTATTATCAGGTAGTAACGTGCTGTAATCTTCACTCACTGTGACCAAACTCTCTCCAGCAGTGGCTCCAGTCACAGTGCTGCTGACACTGTGTTTTATTGTTTCTTGTAACTATTGTTTCCCCACACTGCACTCCCTGCTGCCTGTTGCACTGTTCGGTCCACAGAACAAAGTGTACTGTGATGTGATTCATTTAAGGTCATTAAAGTGCATGTTATAAGCAGCGTTACCTGAAGATCATCCAGGTTAATGTGACAGAGGTGTGATTTGATTATACACCAAGTGATTTACGACTTGCCGTAGTCACTATGCTGCAACTTGTTTTATAGCTAAAGCAGTTTTTTAGTAGGAAATGAATGAGTAGGATAAGGGAAGGTGGTTGATTTCACAATTTGCCAGCTGTAGATATCCAGGTGTTGGTAGGTTTTCTGGCAAAATAACAATATAAAGCTCCTGGTGACACATATTGTGACGTTTGTGTCAAAAACGTTAGATTGCGTCACATTAAATTGTGTAAAAATATTACAGATGGCATCAATGTTTTGGGTCAAATTTTGATTGGTTGTGGTTCATCCATGTGACCAAAATCCATTAGTCTGTATTTTATTACACTAAGGATCGCGGGTTCGACTAATGTGTTTTATCTAAGGTTCAAAACAAGATGCCACGCCAACAAAACACCAGTGTTGAGTTTTGTTTTGTTACTTTTCTCCATCTTCCACATCCACCACGACCATCCTCTCACTTCTAACGTTTAACCTCGGGTGTGTTTTCTCTCCTCAGGTAAGGACTCGTTGACCCTGGTGTTCGTGGAGACCAAGAAAGGTGCCGACGCTCTGGAGGACTTCCTGTATCGGGAGGGGTACGCCTGCACCAGTATCCATGGCGACCGTTCCCAGAGGGACCGAGAGGAGGCGCTGAGTCAGTTCAGATCTGGAAAATGCCCCATCCTGGTGGCCACAGCGGTCAGTACAAACACATGCAAACGTGCAATAGATTTGTTTTATTTATTTACTCTACTATTTCAATAATTAGACACTTCATACATCCGAAAAACAAACACAATTAGTAGAAGCGGGAGGGCAGAAAGCATCGCTCATACAAAGGTACATATACATACACATACTTATGTACAAATATACATACATAGTCCATGTTCAGATAACAAGACAGTTTAATTTCTCATCCTATTTTTATGTAAACAATGATAATTAAGATAGTTCATACAGTATATTACGCAAAGGGCAGCAAATAATATGAAATAACACGACATCCTTTCATCCAAACTACTGCTGTGCAACCCTGTAATGTTTTCTACGCACACATGAGTAGTTTCATTTCTTAAAGACGTCCTTGCGATCAGTGAGAAATTCCATCATGGTGAAAACATCGCTGCATGTGAACGTGTGTGACCTCTTGTTTCTCCTTTGTACACCCTCAGGTGGCAGCTCGTGGTCTGGACATCTCCAATGTGAAACATGTGATTAACTTTGATCTGCCCAGCGACATCGAGGAGTACGTTCACCGTATCGGACGTACAGGACGAGTGGGAAACCTCGGTGAGACTGCCTCATAAATACTGACGGTTTTTTAAGCTACAACCCACAAAAGCTTGTATCCACTGCTCCTGTAACTCACCTTTTATTCTCCTGTAGGATTGGCCACATCGTTCTTCAATGATAAAAATGGGAACATCACCAAGGACCTGCTGGACATCCTGGTGGAGGCGAAACAGGAAGTGCCCTCATGGCTGGAGAGCCTGGCGTATGAACATCAGCACAAGACCAACACCAGAGGACGCTCTAAGAGGTGAACACTGTCCCCTCTCTGTTGGGGAATGTGTTGAATGTGTCCTTAAGGTCAAAGATGGTTCTCTTTGAATGAGATGTTAACGGTGTGTTTGATTTTGCCTCCAGGTTCTCCGGTGGTTTTGGAGCTCGTGATTACCGTCAGACGGCAGCCGGAGGCACCGCCGGAGGGTTTGGAGGACGTGGAGGACGCAACCAGGCCGGACACGGAGGAAACCGCGGGTTCGGAGGAGGTGAGGATACAGCCAGGGTGTTATAGTCAGAGATGGCTAAAGTACACACATCCTTTACTCAAGTAGAAGTACAGATACTCGTGTTTAAAAATACTCTGGTGAAAGTAAAAGTGCTGACTCTTTACTCAAGTAAAAGTAAAGAACTTTGAAATGTACTTCAGTAAAAAGTACCCATAGCTAGCAGCTGTTTTAAAGAGTACCTGACCTCCCTTTATATTAATAGAACAATAATGTCATTGTTAGCTAATGAATGTTTCCATGCTGAAAATCGGCAACATGACAACGTTTCCATTGGTCCCTCTTCTTTAGAGAAGACCAGGAAGTGATGGATACACGGATCGTGTTCAAATCAATAGGCACGCAATGACTCTAAAGAATAATGATCACGCATCAAACACACATTCAGACTAAAGGAACCAGCTGTTTGGAAAATGAGAGAAGTAGAAAGTACAAGTATTTGTGTTCAACATGTAAGAAGTAGAAAGTACAGGTATTTGAGTTCAACATGTAAGAAGTAGAAAGTACAGGTATTTGAGTTCAACATGTAAGAAGTAGAAAGTACAGGTATTTGAGTTCAGCATGTAAGAAGTAGAAAGTACAGGTATTTGTGTTCAACATGTAAGAAGTAGAAAGTACAGGTATTTGAGTTCAACATGTAAGAAGTAGAAAGTACAGGTATTTGTGTTCAACATGTAAGAAGTAGAAAGTACAGGTATTTGAGTTCAACATGTAAGAAGTAGAAAGTACAGGTATTTGTGTTCAACATGTAAGAAGTAGAAAGTACAGGTATTTGTGTTCAACATGTAAGAAGTAGAAAGTACAGGTATTTGTGTTCAACATGTAAGAAGTAGAAAGTACAGGTATTTGTGTTCAACATGTAAGAAGTAGAAAGTACAGGTATTTGTGTTCAACATGTAAGAAGTAGAAAGTACAGGTATTTGTGTTCAACATGTAAGAAGTAGAAAGTACAGGTATTTGTGTTCAACATGTAAGAAGTAGAAAGTACAGGTATTTGTGTTCAACATGTAAGAAGTAGAAAGTACAGGTATTTGAGTTCAACATGTAAGAAGTAGAAAGTACAGGTATTTGTGTTCAACATGTAAGAAGTAGAAAGTACAGGTATTTGTGTTCAACATGTAAGAAGTAGAAAGTACAGGTATTTGTGTTCAACATGTAAGAAGTAGAAAGTACAGGTATTTGAGTTCAACATGTAAGAAGTAGAAAGTACAGGTATTTGTGTTCAACATGTAAGAAGTAGAAAGTACAGGTATTTGTGTTCAACATGTAAGAAGTAGAAAGTACAGGTATTTGAGTTCAACAAGTAAGAAGTAGAAAGTACAGGTATTTGAGTTCAACATGTAAGAAGTAGAAAGTACAGGTATTTGAGTTCAACAAGTAAGAAGTAGAAAGTACAGGTATTTGAGTTCAACATGTGAGAAGTAGAAAGTACAGGTATTTGAGTTCAGAATGTAAGAAGTAGAAAGTACAGGTATTTGAGTTCAACATGTAAGAAGTAGAAAGTACAGGTATTTGTGTTCAGAATGTAAGAAGTAGAAAGTACAGGTATTTGAGTTCAACATGTAAGAAGTAGAAAGTACAGGTATTTGAGTTCAACATGTAAGAAGTAGAAAGTACAGGTATTTGAGTTCAGAATGTAAGAAGTAGAAAGTACAGGTATTTGTGTTCAGAATGTAAGAAGTGGTCAGAAAAATAAGTAGCGGAGTAAAGTACTGATACCAGAAACATGTATTTAAGTACCGTAACAAAGTATTTGTACTTCCCCACCTCTGGTTCTAATGAACAACATCAACTCTCTCACGTTGTTAACTCTGAGTTCTCTCCTCTCCTCCCTCTCAGCTGGTTTTGGAAACTTCTACACGAGTGATGGCTACGGAGGAAACTACTCGCACCCTCAAGTGGACTGGTGGGGCAACTAGGTTCTTCCTTAACTCACCCCCTCTTCCTTCCTTTCTCCACTCCACTGTCTGCACCCCATCCGTTTCCTCCCCCTCATTTACCTTAAAGAAAAACCACGTGCATGTTATTAAACTATTTATACTCATTTATATAGCCCTCCTTCCACCCGTATACACTCAGATCTTTTAATTATTTTCCTTTTATCCTCCTTTCCATCTCGCCTTTGTCTTTAGGGTCCCTCGTCTTTGGTAAATCTCACCTCTTACAATAGGCCACAGTATAAAGGGAACAGTTTGAGTTGGTTATTCTTCAGCTTAGCAGCACCCTTTTGTTTTCCGTGAGGACTGTTTGAACAATGTTCCCTTCTCGAAGGAAAAATAACCAATTGAATGATATGTTGGCGTTCCTTTAACCCCTGGAAGATTTTAGATTTACGGTCCCACAAAGCAGCTGCAGGAAGACAGCTTATCACTTTTGGCTTCATTGTGTTTTTGTCTGCATCACCCAAAGCCAGCCAGGCATCCTGTGTACCTTCACATGTCATCTTTGTATGTAACGCATGGCCATGTTGTAAATCACCGGCCAAACACTTTTCTAAAACATAGCGCAGAGATGGGCAAGATGTCAAATCTGAGCAAAATATGTCTGCATATAAATTCCAAAATGGGATCTGTCTCCTTCCTTGACATGATAGATACTTTAAAAGCAGCCACAGAAACAGAAACGTTTTTTATTTTCACCTTTTTAAAACATATTGAAGTCTTGAGTTCCAGAGATCTGAGAAAGATGTCTAACAGACTGAAGGTACTGCGGCTGGACTCTGAAAAGCCCATTAGCAACGATGCTAACAGTCTCCGGACTGCTGACGGCGTCTCTTTTGTTTGAAACAAAACATAATGGAGGATCATTTGTTTCTGTACTGTGCCTTTTAAACAATTGTCTCTTATTTCCGTTGTTTTAATTGCCATAAGTGGCTACAAGTATTGGCCAACTGTAACTAAAAGAAATGTGTATTTAATGTCATGTATGGGTTTAAACATGTTTTTCTTTATTTATATTTGGAAGGAAACAAACTAGGCTTGAACTAAATCAAACCTTGGCAAAAAAAAAAACTAAAACCGCGATGAGGAAACTCAAAGCAATTCCTTATCTATTTATTGGAGCTCAAATTCACGAGAATGAGCTCCCAAACACATATAACCACTTATATTGATATACCTTCATCCAGAGTGACTCAAGAAGACATTAAAGAAACGACTTCTTTGCTTCGCCAGCCAGAAAGCAGAGTGGTTTTATGCTTTTGGGAGTCGTACTAACGGAGCGATTTGTCACAGCTCTGGTTTGAGCTTGAGTTTCTCAAAGGCATCTTGTCACTAATTGCTGAGTCACATTAAAGCAGCTGTCATTTTATTACTATTCACACAAATGTAGATCTTTATAACCTACTCAAACGTTTTAAAATGTGAGGTCAAACTTCACTTTCTAACCTTCTATTGTAAGATAGACATGGCATACTCTTTCCGCACCTAGCATGGACATGAATATTGTCCTACTGCATTTAATGGAAATGAAACACGGCCGCTGCTGAAGAAACAAAATGACTCTTAGTGCCTCGTTGCTTTTGAGAATCGTGCTCCGCTTTCCACTACAAACATTTAAAACCCTTGTCTGCCAAAAGCTTCTTTCAAGGGGGATACACAACTTTAAAAAAAGGCTTAAAGAGTTCAAAATGTTCTCGCTCACTCTATCCTGGAGAGTTACATGAAGAGTCTTCTCTAAAATAAGTCATTCCAGTTTCTTTGTTCAGTCTTTAGGATAACAGTAAAAGGATATAGCCGAACCGTTTCACAGCAGGGACAGACGGGGCTTTCCAGGGGAGATAATGCCACACTTTGTACACAAGTTAGCCCTTTTAGCTTCACTTAAATAACCACACAAATGTTAGCTTCTGCCTACGATTTGCATCCACTTCCTGTTGATTCAGCAGATGCATCTTTCTGCTATGCTACTTCACGACAGAAGTGAACATCTAATTATTGTTGTGATGCATTCAAGGCCCACGGTTAGCCCTGTTCGTCTCAGCTGTGGTTTAGTCCCTGATTGAACTTCTAAAAGGAACTCCGCTGTAAATGTAGACGACTCAGCGGTTTCCGATCCCCTCCCTTTTGTTAATAAGCAGCAGAATAAGCCAAAAAAAAAGCCCTGTTGCTACCTGGTGGGGAAAACGTTCATCAGGGTCTTAATTTGTTTTGTTTACATGAGCAACTTAAGCGAAGTGAAAATAGATTAAATGTAAATAGTACAACTCTTCTTGAAACAGAAAAGAGAAGAAGAATGTGAATTACAAGTGAAACTCGCTTGTTGTGTAGAAAAATCACGTTTGATCACTCAACGTTTGACCGCAGCGGTCTGGTGAGCTTAGCTCGGTGGGCAATTTGAACGGCACATTTATTCTTTGGAGATATTTAATTTACGGTGAACACAAAACCAACTAATTGGAAATTGAAAAACAAGCTAACGCTCACGAGGCAGACTCTCAAATTGCCCACTGGCTTTGACTAATGACAAAGCTGGACCAGGACAAAAAAACATATGCAAGTGTTGTTGTTTTTTGGTCAAGGAGGTAAAAAAAATGCCAAGCAAATAGATACAATTCTACAGCAGGCTTTAGTTATGTTAAAACTCTTGATTTTTTTCTTGTCGGCTATTATTTTAAGACCACTTTGTAATCGTAGGTCGTGTTCATGTCGAGCTATTTCCCTGGAGTGCAGTCAGTGAGGAGCTTAGGGAAACTAGTTGGCGTTAACATCGTTTTGTGAAGAGTTTAAGGCTGAGTAATGCTGGAGGATTCATGCAGACAGCAGGTCACATATACAAACTAGATTATTGTTTCTCGATGTATAGACACCAGGTTCTCGTGTCAGACTTTGAGTTTGGTGATTTCTCACTGAACCAGTTTTGTATTCTAGTGTTTCAAATGAGGGGCCAGTTTAATGGGATGCTACGTTGAAGGAAAGTTGTCATAGGACGCAATGTTAGAAACAAAAAAGGAACTCCACCATGTCCAACAGAAAGGAACCGAATACAGAAATGAGTGCATTATCGTTTTAGCTTCATGAGGTTTGTTGTCTTTGCAGCACAGAGCGTTGTGTTGTCGCTATTGTTCAAATTGAGTCTGATTCCCAGTAGAAACAGCGGTTGAATTGTTGATCTAACGGTGATTGACGCGTCCCACCCGTTATCCAATCAGAGCATTCGTCTGTGGGCATGATATGGATGCCACAGTTTGATTTGCCTGCAGCGATGGTTGATAGCCGCCATCCTCGAGAGCCGTGAATATAATATATAACCAGCATGAAGATAAAATATCAGAAACGGGACAATAAGTTGACATTGCAAATGACAATCAATATGAAGCATTTGCTAAGTTTAAAACTCACTTTTTTACACGTTAATTCTTTAAGTTGCACTTTTTTTTATATTCTTAAGGACACCTTTACATGTAAACGTTTTCTTAACCAGCTTTTTTGAAGATAGTTGTTTCAAAACTGTCAAATCTTAACATCCAACTTGTGTCCTCAGTGGTCAGGAGGCCGAACTGAAGCTTATTACCTTACAGTTTAATAAACACAATAGGATTTTGGTACAAAATCCACCTTTACATATTGACTGAATAACAGTTTTAATGCTTGACTGAATTGTTCCCCACTTCCTGTGTGAGAGTCCGATGTGTTACTTGAATCCATGGCTGTTGCCAACCAGAAACTTAGTATGCAGCTAGTGCAGTCTTTGTGTTTGAGTAATAACGTTAAGGATGCTAAACGCTGTTCCTGCTGCCGAGTTCAAAGGCAAACCTTTTTAAAGAAGGACGCACAGTGAGGAATCTGTTGGGTGTGTAGACATTGCTGTGCCTTCTAGCAGCCACTAGGGGGCAGATAGAGTAAATGAAGGAGCGACTGAGCATTTCACAGCGATACTGATGCTAGGAATACAATGTAAGATATGAGCTAATGTTGTGAGTTGCACAGCAGGGAGCGTGGAAGGTAACACTTCAGTTTACCTCACTTTTCATCGTGTTTGTAAAGCAGGCAAGTCGTGTTGTTCGGATTACGCAAATATATATGCAATGTATTTAGGTCTTTTTCTAGCACGGATAGATGATATCTGTTGGCTGTATTTACCATTAAACTGTGCTGGAGTTACTACCACTGTGCCCCCAAAACCCCCCCGTCCCACCTCGTTAGAACGCCCATGAACTTCTGCAGTGAGTGCAATGCAGATCGTTTGCTTGCTTTCACCTCGCTGTCACTGAGATTCTCTGAATGAGCCGCTTTCTGTGTGCGTGCGATGTTCACATTAGAGCAGAAGCTGGCCGCAGGAAAGTCTGACATGTGCGCGGTGCCTTGAAGTGGCTGAAAAGTGTTAGCTTAGGGCTGGGTATTTTTTCAATGTCAGATGAAGAATCTATACTATTTATTTTATACTAAAAATGCAGAAACGGATGCAGTACGGGAAAGTCGGCGCACTCATTCGCTCTCTAGTGGACATTGTTAAGCATAGCAGTTCAAGATAATAAAACACATTTCCTTCAGTTCATTTAATTATCCAATAGTTTGATACCCTTCAAAACGAATGCCATTACCAACAAAATCATGTGTGCTTTGTCTTATTGGCGTTAACTAGCGTCCGAAACAAAGATGGCAACCAAGTAAAAGCTGCTTACATCATTGTGAGCCGGTTAGCATGCTGGTGTTAGCATTTAGCTGTTACTCAATATCAGTGTTTCTCAACTTTTTCATACCAAGGACTTAACCAATAAAAAAACACTCGCGGACCACCTAACTCCACAAATATCCCAAAACACATCGTTTTTCTAGAACAGATTATAAATCGCCTGAAAATGGTACAAACAAGTGACAACATGTGTGACGAAGGTGTTGCGCTGGGCTTTATCATGCAATAGAAAGTGAAACTTAAGCTTGTTCCATTGCGGAGATATTCCCGCGAGAGTGCGGAAAACTTAAATGTATTTATTTATTTCAAATGTGAAATGTTACCAATATACTCACGGACCACTAGGGGGCGCACACGGACCACTTTGAGAAGCACTGCTCTATATAGTATATCTGTTGTTGCCACTCAGTAGTGTTTGAGGTGGCGTCCTGTGAATAAATGCATCCCCTGTACAGTAAAAAAGCCCAAACGTAACATTTGCTTTGACCACCAGCTTTACTAATCAAAAAGTGATTTCCTCTGAGAGAAAAAGTCGTCATTTAGAACAAGTCAGCACTTTAGTTTTTGAATATTTTAAAAACCTTTTTTGATGCCTTAAATTTACCCGGCGATACCCAGCCCTAAAGGAGCGGATAGTGGAGTTTGTTACACTGTATACAGCGTTATACTGACCTTTTTCCAGCAGGAGTGCTTTCTATTGTCGCCGAACAATTAATGGTGCTACGCTCCCATTGCTGCGGCCTGAAGGCCCCTCTGTTGTAGGAACCCCATCGAGTTATAGAAAATACTTCAGTTACTCAGATTAGTGTTGAAGTCTTCTGTCGTCCCTCCGAAACCTCAGCGAGGGGCGAGGGGCGAGTGAGTGTAGCGCAGACAGGTGTCAAAAAGAGAGGTTGCTCCACAGTTACGTGTGTGTGAGTGAGAGGTGTGTGTGTGAGAGTGTGTGTGTGTGTGTGATTTACAGAAAGGTTCTTCCAGATATGAAACTGTTTTTTTTTGGGACCAGGTGGAGTTGTAGTTAACAGCAACCGTAGGAATCAGCTGTTTGCACACAGAGTTCTCGAGTCTACTTTCGCTGCTAGTTTGTGTAATTTATCAAGCATTTCTGAGAAATATTTATTTTTATAAGCCTAATACAAAAGTTGATATTTTACAAAGTGACTTGACCAAAAGACAGTAAACAAAAACACTGGCACTTGAATGTTGAATGTCATTGGTATGAGTGAAAATTTCTATTTTTCTGGGGTAGTGTGAGCTTTTTAAATGTTAAAGATGCAACGTGTAGGAGTTTCTCTTTGAATATGTCAGCGCAACAACTCGTATATTTAAATGGAAAACTGTCACTGGTGCCAAATCCCAAAACAGCAATAGCGTGCGCATCTTTTCGTCTTCAACCAAACTCCTTTATTTTAATACAGGTGTGCTGAAATGAGGTGGCAGTACTTCCTCATATTCCTCAGTAACTTTTGAAAGTCGTACCCAGCTTGTAGCCACAACCCTTTTCTGTTAATTGCACCGATACGTGAAGATGTGCACGTGGAGCCGCTGACAGTCTCACTACAGTTGATGTGACATATTTGGAGAAACGTCCTGCACGGGTTACCTTTAAAGTCTCATTGGACTCAGTATCAGATCCATAAACACCTGTTTGTGCGACAGGCTCCGTTGCCAATAATGATAACCAAGCATAAACAGCCATTTTTTTTAATTGGCAAACAAAATTTGAGACAATACCACCATATATGCCAAGGTTTGGATTAAAATAAATAAAACAATTAACAAAACGTTACGATCAAAGACCATTTTGTAGAAAAAAAAACATGCAGTACAAAAAACAAGTGTCCAGATTCTCTCCAAGTCAGATGTTGATTTTATTTGTGTTTTGTTTTTTTCGTTCATTTGAGTCTTTACACTTTTCCTTCCCGTAAATGCCCTTGTTGTGAGTGTCTGGCAAGTGGTGATCTTTAAAAGTCTTCATAACACAGAATTAACTGTGGTTCTATTGCTATGTTGTTGTGATTTGCATATTTTCAGGCGTCTGTGTGTTGATGCTCGTATGGAGGGGAGCTTCTGGCCAATCAGAAATGGGTAAAAGATGACGTAATAGGGGTCTTTTACACATGTGACATCACGACTCTTCATCCACATCTTAAATGAGAATAAGACCCTCTGCACCATGCAATGGGACCCAAAGAAAGCGCCTTTTTTATGCACAATAACGTTGGGCTTTCTTGGTAACAAATGCACCACTGTGCCGCTCTATGTCCCTTTCAGTTCAATGTAGAGGGTTATTACAGGAAATAAAAGTGTGTAGTTGTATTTAGGAATGATTGCTGTTTTAGTGACTGAATTGAAAGGAGATGTAGAGCTCAGTGTTGTTAATATTTCTGACTGGCCAGACCCTCGATGTGGACTCGGCACCCCCGGCCTGCTAGTTAGTATTTGCTTTCTGTATTAGTTTAGCAGTTGTGCACGAAGAGGAGCACTGCACGAAGAGAAAAAAAATAATTGTGCATCTATTCTGATTTTATCACAAATAAAGGTTTGGATTTGCAAGTGTAAACTGTGTTTTGACCCTTTTTTCCTTAAAGTGTTGTATTTTAGTTAGAAAAGATCCTTGTTATTAAATTAAAAAGTGTATCGGCAGTTAAATACATTGTACACAATTATAAAACTCTTGATGAATGATTTGTAATGAGCTACTGTTCCCTTCTTATCCAAGCTGCTGTGATTACAAAATAAACGTTTATTTAAATGAACTCTTTAAGTTGCTAAAAGATGGTTTTCAGTCATATTTCTTGTACTTTAATGCATTAAAGGGCCCATGTCATGCTTTTCCTGTTATCACCCGTCCCCTTGTTATGAAGGTGTTTCTGCATGTGAACGGTCTGCAGTCACAAACCCTCAAAGTGCACCCTGTAGCGAGTAAAACTCTAACACAGAGAAGACCTGTCTGTGCTGCCCCAGAACGCCTCGTTGGACATTTCTCTTCTTCCATTGTTTGCTTCCTGGGTTCTGTGACGTGTGAACACCCAGATCAACAACTAATGACCGGATTGGCTCAAATGGACCAATCCTTGGAGCTCCTCCCACACCAGGGTCCCTTGGCTAACTAACAGGGAGTCCCATTGACTTGCATAGAGCTCCCTGGTTGGTAATAGCCGAGTTGGGATGGTGGAGAAATGCTCTCCGCAGACCCATTCTCACAGCGTTAGAAACCTTTTCTTTCTCAATATCAAGCCACACTTATTGTTTTGACTTCGGCTGTGAGTGTTTGTGTGCTCAGGATGAGTTTCGCTTGTTCTCGCTGTATCGCCGACCCGGAAACCTGTCCGCTCCTCGCAGCAGCAACGAGCCTCGCAACGTCCCGACCAATCAGAGCACACTGGGCTCACAGGGAGGGGGGGGGGGGGGGGGGGCAGGAGCTCCAACAAGCCGTTTAGGACAGAGAGTGAATACACAGACTATACAGAGATGCTGTGAGGAACCAATGTGAGTTTGGAACATTGCACAATTTAAATGTATTCTAGTAGACCTCAACAATGGATTATGATCAGTAGAAATGGGACCTTTAATGTAATACTTGTCCTCCCTGTTTTGAGCCCACCTCCACTAAAATATTTGGTCAGTGGATTAACAGCCTTAAACAAACCATGTGTCATTGCAAAATGTCTCCATACATTCAGACAAGACGGTTATTAAAGTGCATTCACGTTGCTTTGGTTGTAGAGAGGCATCCTGTTGTAAGGCACATTTTGGTCCGACAATCATTTAGGAACATTTGAGAAAAATAATCTCTTGTGTACAGCGACACTGACGTGTGCTCATGTCTTCAGTGTTTGTCCAGTCATGTAACGTTTGTAGGAAATACTGCTCCTCGTCTTTCTGCATCCTGTCAGTCAAGAAGCAGGGAAGCCCTTATTTGTTTGTGACTTTTTCCAGCTTGCTCCTGATTGGTTCTTGGTCCGACCAAAAGTCTGCGTTATCTTGGTACCATTTTACTAAAAGACAGCAAAAACAAATGACACATTTTAATCAGGGAAGCTGTGTGTGTGTGTGTGTGTGTGTGTGTGTGTGTGTGTGTGTGTGTGTGTGTGTGTGTGTGTGTGTGTGTGAGAAAGAGAGAGAGTACCAGTCTGTCTGATGCCTTCAGTCCAGGAAACGTCCGCCCTCCAGCCAAGCTGCTGCAGCTTCTCACAGCTGATTGGATATCGCAGGTCGACACACGGCCTGTAGGAGGAGGTAAACACTCACTTAGCTGGTGGATGTAAAGTACTACACTCTTTTATTATATTGTTGTTGTGTTTTATATATTTTAAGTGTGTTGTTTTTATGAATGTTACCATGTGAAGTGTCTTTGAGTAGCTACTGTGAAAGCACTTACTATAATTATGAATGAAGTTAGAGAACAAATGAAGACCACGTAGCAGTACAGAGGATATGAACAGTATTAAAATGTATTTAAGTAGATTGTTATTATTTAATTAGTTTGCTCACCTGTCAGGCACAAACTCGAGCCAATCGTTCACCTCGGAGTCCGGAACGTTCTTGACCTGAAACACAATAGATGAGATATTTTAACATCTGCTACCTCCTCTTATCTGTTTTTACATCAGCAGTTTCTAAACCCACCATTTTAACGAGCTCCTTAGCCAGTTGCATGATGAGAATCTCACAGCTTGTTCCCACATTGTAGATTTCTCCCACAATGCCTTTCTCCAGGACGAGCCGGAGGGCGTTGATGGCGTCATCGACAAACAGGAAGTGCCGGGATTTAGGGAGGGTTCCTTGGATGGTGCTGCAGGAGAAATGAGGGGTTCAGATTTGAAACTGGATATACATTTATTTTTTATGAATGAATACTGAAGCTGGTTTCTCTGCAAAACTATTTCAAAGTAAAGTTCAAACCTACCATTTCTTGTTCATTTGAAGGAGGGTGAGGAACTTGGGAATAACCTGAAAGATCAAGAAGAGGTTTTGCTTTTGTTAAATTTCAAATGAACTACTAGCATGTTATTTTAGCTGTACAGTTTACAGCCTTATAACTAAACCAGGTAAGGCAAGCCGCTGTGCTACAGACAAAATGTTACCTAACAGTGCTTATACATATATATTTATTTTGTACACAATGGCTCCAAGCTAAGTACAAAAGTACCTTCTCAGTGTACTGCCGTGGCCCGTAGATGTTGTTACTCCTGGTGATGATGATGGGAAACTAGAAATACAAACACAAAGCAGGATTTAATATTCAAAGAACTGTCAGGAACAACTAATAGATCTGTCTGTCTTGTTATTTCTACTGAATGAGCAAATGCAGTGAATTTCCAAACAGATATATTGTATGTAAATAAATCCTTTCCACACTGTTTGTGCCTAACCTTATATTTGTCCCAGTAGGAGCGGACCAGGTACTCCGCAGCTGCTTTGGTGGTAGAATACGGGTTGGAGGGCCTCACTGGACTGCTCTCATCAAAGACCTGCGAAAACAAACACCAAAAATCAATCTTAAAATCAATCCAAAAACTCTCCATCTGTCTAGGACCGTAACCCCTGCTCACTGACCTGATCCAGCCCCTCTCCGTACACTTCATCAGTGCTGACGTAGACGAAGCGCTGTGATTGGTGTGGGGCCTGATGGGCGGCTGCCAGTAAAACTTTGGTCCCTTCGATGTTCACACGCTGGAAACTAGCCGGGGCTTCGAATGACGTCTCTGACAAGGAAAGAAGAACACAAAGTTAGGCAACGAGAGGCGGGTTTTAATAGAAATGTGAGGTGGACTGCTGCTGCTCACCAACGTGTGTTTTGGCCGCCAGGTGGAAAATCACATCGATGTTCTCTGTGTTGAAAATGTGATTTACCAGCTGTGAGTTACACACATCTCCCTGTGGAGGAAAGAAGTAGATTTATATATTAAAACACTCGAAAGGTAAAAAGGTCTTCCATGAATGGATCTAATCTCTCACCCTGATGAAAGTGTAGTTTGCTCTGTCCTCCACACTCTCCAGACTCCTGGGGCTGCAGCAGTAATCCAGCTGGAAGAGATCAGAGCATCAGGGACATCAACCCAAGATCTTACCATCGATGGCTCCATTGTCAACCCCTCCACTCACATCCGTAACCTTGGCATCATCCTCGACCCCACCCTCACTTTCCTCCCTCACGTCAACCAGGTCACAAAAAACGCTTTCTTCCATTTAAAGAACATCGCCCGCATCAGACCCTCCCTCTCATCAGACCCTCCCTCTCATCGACCGCTGCTGAAACTCTGATCCATGCCTTCGTAACATCCCGACTGGATTACTGCAACAGCACTTTTTGTATCACCTGCATTCACACTAAAACAACTTCAATATGTCCAAAACGTAGCTGCCCGCTGGCTCACCTCCACCCGACGCTCCGACCACATCACCCCTATCCTCCATGACCTCCACTGGCTCCCCATCAAACACTGCATTGACTTTAAAATATAACTTTTCACTTTCAAAGCCCTCAACAACCTTGCCCCCCCCCCCCCCCCCCCCCCCCCCCCCTACCTCTGTGACCTCATCCAACGACACAACCCCACCCGTCGCCTCAGGTCTGCTGAAGCTAACCTACTGCAGCCCATCAGGACAAAGCTCCGGACCTGGGGTGACAGGGCCTTCGCAGCAGCCCCCCCCCCACACTCTGGAACCCCCTCCCCAGCCACGTCAGATCCGCCAACACTCACATCATTCAAACAATCCCTCAAAACTCACCTTTTCACTCTTGCCTTCAACTCCTAATCAACTTGCCCTTATTCCACCTAGCTTAGCACTTTCTACTTTTGTTGTTATTTTTGTTGTACTTGCTTGTAAGCGCTTTGAGCACCAGGAAAAGCGCTTTATAAATGTAATGTATTATTATTATTTAGCTCAGTAAAACATGCTAAAATACGTACATAAAAACCAGGAGAGACTTACAATATCCAGGTTTATTATCCTCCAGTCAGGGTGTCTGGTGACCAGCGAGCACACAAGATGTGAGCCGCTGGAAGGAGAAGATAAGAGTTCAATTTGGAGGTTTCATGCAAGTGTACAGCTTTAATTGACAGCTAAAGATGACTTATAACCCCATACAAATTGCTACAAACGCAATGATATGTTGTAATGTTTTGTTGATTCCACTGAGTGTTTTAAAAATAAATGTAGTGGAGTAAAAAGTAAAATATTGGCCTCAGAAATCACATGAAATAGGAGTACAAAGTGTCAGAGAATGGAAATACTATAATATAGTACTTAATATAGTACAGATGCTTACAGATTAACCACATCCAGCTGCATCTGCTTATTGGTTAATGCATGAATAAGAGGAATAACAATATAATCATATTTTGCGTATTTAGTAGGTGAATTAAACTCGGTGTAGCCGACTGTAATGCAACATTAGTGTTAGAATCGTCTACAAACAGTAATTATTCAGATACAAACTGTAATTGAATTGTGCTTAATGGACATCATTCATATATTTCTGCATTTATAGTATACACTCACATGAATCCAGAGCCTCCAGTCACCAGAACAGTGCTGTTAAAGTCCATATTCTAGTCATAGCATATTAAGGTCTCCTACAGACATAATAACGACCTTTTAATGCTAATATTTACAGTTGTATTGCAGGCAAGCTAACAGGAAGTGATGCTATTCCATAAGCTTCACTACACTACATACATTGTGTGCGTTGCGACAGTTGACGGGCGTTTTACGGCAGTGTTGACACGTTGAAAAGGGGCGGGATAGCATCACATGTACACTCGTTTCTGCAATCTGATTGGTTGCTTCACATGAGAGCGAAACAAAGGGGTGGTTTGATTGGCCGAAATCCAAATCAATCAAACTGTCAGCGGGCGCTTCGTGGTTCATTGAATACATGAGTTTATTTGTCGATAACGGTGAACTGCATTGGGTTAACAATGTCGTATTTATTAGCCACACTTACAGCTTTAGTGCTGCTTAATTCTGAGGCTTTTGGTAAAAGTGTGACGGGACTTTTTAAGAGTGAAGCAGCGAGGCAGCAGAGAGGACAGTTCATCACTAAATTCATGTACCAAGGTAACACTGATTTAAAAATGCGAACGTGTCATTTCTGCAGTAGGCTTATCTTCATCTGTTTGTAACTAATACGTATTTTAACATGGTGTAATGACGAAGTGTCTTTCAATATACTGTCATTTTTTGATGCAAATAGAACATTTCAGTAGGCTATTATTTGTAATAATATTCCACCTTTTAAATATGTTAATGCCTGAACACACTGCTGCTGTGACAAAGTCATTTCCCAACTTGGGATCGATAAAGCATCTATATGTATTTACCTATGGGATGGACCTCATCACTTAATCGGATTATATCTACTGTGGTCATTTCTTAAATATATTTTTAACTAATGGAAAATAAAACCAACACTTGTGGAAAAACACGTTTTAACGACCTTAAATGCTGTGTAATGTCATATGTGGTGAATAACTGTGAGTCATTTATGCTGACACTAAAAATGCATAGTGAGAATTGCAGGGATGATGATCTGATGAATCGTATAAATGAATACATATCTCTGACCCGTTTCGTCTCAGGTTCTGATGGTCTGCTGGTGATCCGGCTTGATAACGTTCCCCTGGCCACAGAGAAGGAGTCCAGACTGCTGCTGTTTCAGGACATGGACTCACAGCTGGAGAGCCTCAACTGCTCGGAGAGGATCAGCAAAGCTCAGCACGCCAGTAAGAAGAGACACTACACAGCTGATGGGATGCAGCTGTTTTGATTGTATTCTTTTTCTCATCCCTAACGCCACTGTGTTTGTCCTCCTGCTTCAGTTTCTCTCACTGCAGATGAATACAACCACACGATCCCTAAAGAGTCGACTCCGACAGCCTGGCAGGTCCTGTACGCAGACAGATACACATGTCAGGTAACTATCAAACTAAACCGCCTTAAAGTGGTAGTTTGGGTATTTTGAAGAGGTGTACGCTAAGGAGAAAACTTCTGTGGAAGGAGGGAAGCAGCAAAATATAGTTTAGCATCGGAAAAACCCGATATCAGTCGAAGTGTACAATGTATTTATGATATTCTCAGTCATTTTTGCCTGGAAACCACAGCTGCTGCTCGGGAAAAACAAATCATAAAATCATATGTTTACCTCGCAGAACACAGGGGTTCCTGGTCTAGTTAGTTTTCTGTGTTAATGTGGGACTATTGTGAATCAAACCCTAACCAAAGTCACCCTTTAACCCTTCTATTAGTTATGTTGGTATTGACAGCAGGAATGTATCACTCTTTGTCTCCTGTCTCTCCAGAAGGATGCAGTGATCCCTTCTCACCCTGATCTCAGTTTCTCTATCTTGTTGTTCAACGCTGACTCAGCAGGAAATCCTCTGGAGCACTTCAGCGCAGAGGAGGCAGGTGAGACATCAACATAATATCACCAGGACTTTTATTAGGTTCTTATCACACATCTGCTTGCATTAAAGGCCTTTCATTAACCTTGTTTTCTGTCTTAATAGAGATATACACACCCAGTGCTTTGTGTGTACTCAGATACATTAAATATTCAAAGGGTTCAAAGTGCCTAATGGTTTGCTCTATGCCCAATGTTTAATATCCAGAGATGTAGGAATTGTTCTCCATCATTCATGAGTGACAGACTCTTCTATTCTCTCTCTCTCTCCCAGGTCTCCACACCTTTTACTTCCTCCTGCTGCTGGCCTACTTCATAGCGAGCTGTATTTACTTCAAGCCTCTGCAGCAGGCTCTGAAGAAAGGCGGCCCGATGCACTCCATCCTCAGAGTGCTGAGCACCGTGCTGGCTCTGCAGGGCTGCTCGGCGCTCTGCAGCTACATCCACCTGGCCAGGTAACATCTGACCTAATTACATCACATTTAAATATTCAGCACAACAGTTCCTACTTTTTTTTTTACATGTAAGTATTTCCAAGCACAAATAAAAGTGTTCTGAGTTCTCGGTGAAGTGGATATTGGCTTTTTCCAGTCCTCCTCTTATTATTATTATAATAATAATAATACATTTGATTTATATAGCGCTTTTCCTGGTGCTCAAAGCGCTTTACAAGCAAGTAAAGATGAACAATAACAACATAAGTAAAAAGTGCTAAACTAGGTGGAATAAGGGCGAGGGGTTAGTGGATTAGGAGTTGAAGGCAAGAGTGATGTACGTATGTAAGCAATTCCACACATAGTTTTTAAGAAAGTAACCTGCGATTGCTTTTAAACATTTTCATTACAGTGTTCTTCGTTATGTATTTAATGAATACACTGTTTCCTGTTCTGCAGGTACTCCAGAGACGGTGTTGGTCTCCATCTGATGGGCAGCCTGGCAGAGTGTATGTTCCTCTGTATTCATATTTCATGTATACATTTAGGCCCAATCCCAAACCACGCCCTACACCCTACCCCTACACACTCCCCCTCCGTGACGTAGTGACACTCAGCTCAACGAGGCTCCCTCCTGTCAGATGGAGGGAGTAAATACAGCGGCAAGCTTTGGGACAAACTCCCCTCTCTCCGGCAGAAACAGGAAATGCCGTTTCAAATCAGCATCTCTTAGACAAACAATTAAAATGAATAACTAAAATAAAACTCCAAACATCTTTAACTGTGTTACTTTTTTCTAAAGCTCTTAGTTTCTATAAGCTTCTTAGTTTTTGCAACAGTCTGTAAATATACACAACTTTATAATAAAATGCACACATTTACCGTTTTCTAGACTGAACACAGGTTTGATCCTAAGTTCAAAACATATGAGGTTATCATGAGGTCGTTCACATTGCAGTGGATGTTTGCTGGAACTGTTTGTAAACAGCGTGTTTCCTGACGGACACACACAGCGTTGAGACCGGTCTCCAGTCAGCACCGATGTAGACTCGCTGTTTGAGGGCTTGATAGCCCACTCCCCCTCCACACCGCTCCACACTCGTTGGTTTGGAACAGCACTTAATGTGGCGGACCCTCCGCGCAAATGGGCAAATGCGCAAACGGAGGGGTAGTGTGTAGGGTGTGGTTTGGGATTGGGCCTTAGTTTTAAGTTGTGTGCCATCTTCTCTTCCCCTTCCTGCTCCCGGTGCAGTCTGGGATATGGCGTCCCAGGTGTCCATGCTGTACATGCTGCTGAGTCTGTGTGTGGGCTGGACTCTGAGCCGCGGCAGGAAGCCTCAGTCGGGCCCTCTGCAGTGGGAACAGACCCCGAGGTCCAGGGCCGTGGCTGTGGGGGGGGGTCGTCGTACAGGTACGCTATTATCAGGGCTTCATGAAGATACACTTTATATACACACTCTAAATCATGTCTATTTATTGTGTTTAAAGTTGGTAATTATGCAAAGTTGCAGGTAAAGAGTAGGCTACACTCTTAATATGATGTTATGTATAGAATTAGATTCCAGTTTTGATGCATACAATTGTTTCTGACTTGTGTGGTCCAAACATTTCCAATAACTCAAGTCCAAAAACAATATTTAAATAGAGGATTCTGTTTCAGACATTTGAGGCTTCATTTAAAAACCTCAGATTTTGTATGCATATGGATAAACCTGCCTGTGGTTTTGATTAAACACATCAGCATATGATAATGTTCAAGTTATTGAGAGTGAAACTGTGTCGTTCTCAGGGAGGCTTGCTGCTGTGGGAGCAGTTTTCTGAACCCGAGGGTCAGCATCACAGCTTCCACGTCCAGCAGAGTGTCGCCGCTCTGCTCCTCATGCTTCTCCGGGTGGTCCTCGCCCTCCTGCTGGCCTCCGTCCTCTACCAGATCATCTCCACTGAGAGGAGCACCCTGAAGAGAGACTTCTACCTCTGCTTCGCCAAGGTAAGACATATAAATACACAGTAAGCTAATGTGCCCTAAAGACACACCAGTCTGCATCAAGTGGTGATCCTTGTGTCCATGTTGCCAGTATTCTACGATTGCTCATTCACTGCCTCAAGAAATGTACCAGTCTGTAGATAATAACAAAAAAAAATATATAACCCAAAACAGTTGATAGTTAGCATCTGAGCTAATCAAGCCATGTGTTGTACGTTGCATTCTTTCACCGTCGGATAAACTTCACACCAATGAAAATCAACGTCACAAAAACGACTTCAATTGTCCTCTGCAGGGATGCTTCCTGTGGTTCCTCTGCCATCCTGTCATCTTCCTCACGTCGGCCATCTTTAACGCACACCAGAGGGAGAAGGTATGAAGACTCATAACATTTCAGCAACGCAACATCATGATGTCACCAGTGTTCATCGGATGTCTCTGACCCTCCATCTCTTCTTCTCTCGTTACAGGTGGTGACCATCGGTGTGATCCTCTGCCAGACCATCTCCATGGTGATCCTCTACCAGCTGTTCCTGTCCCGCTCTCTTTATTGGGAGGTGTCCTCTCTCTCGTCAGTGTCTCTGCCTCTCACCATGTCCAGGACCAACAACAGAGCACGTTACTGATATATTAAGAAGATAGAAGCGGCTAAAAACTCCCAGTTTGTCTGCAGAGACAGGAAGTGCTGTAACGCTGCAGGGACTGTTTCACTTTGCTGTTCCCGGCACAACATGACCAGAAGATGAGATTTACAGCAACACCCTACCTCTAGTTGTAAATAATGTATGAGAGAAAATACTGAGCAGGAGGAAAGATATTTAATCGCAGAGAGAGGAAGGAAACCAGGCTTATAGTATTTCAGACCAACACAAGCATGATCAAGTTGCACCAGGATTATAGATTTGCAAAGGTAGAGATGGTTGTTTGGGCAAACAAAGAAGGATACTTCTCTGCTCAAATTCAGCTTTTATTATCACTGTTACAGCACTGCTCAGCACCTGTGTTACATTTAGGGATGTAGTGTTTCTGCAATGATCTGAGCTAGACTTGGGCTAGGTGAAATGACCCAAAAGTACAAGCCAAAATAAGAGCTGTGTGAATTCTCTGAATGATTATGACACTGTAGGTTTTCATGGGATTTATTTACAATAAGGGAATTAAAATGTGTAGATGAATGGTTCAGTGTGTGGTAAGATTTACTCTGGATGAATAGATGGAGGCGAAGAACTTAAGATGAATATACTGACAAATAGACATGTGGAAGAATGGAGAAAGACTCGGTGATGAGTATATTTCAAGTCACTTTAATGAAAAGGATAAGTATTTTTGTCTTTGCACATGCAGAGTGAGCCATTAGGTCAGTGTGTGCTGCCTGTACATCACAGATCAAGCTGTACGTTCAGTTATTTCCTCGCTTTTGACAGCATGTGAACCTTTTGAAAATGTATAAACTGTATGCAGCTGGAGACAAACTGCATGCCATATCGTTTTTTATTTTTTCCTTTTACATTCGTATGGAGATGGTAGGTAATATATGTACTTAACATGGTATTTGTCCAACAATGACATTCTTATTCTACAACATATGAGGCATCTGTTTGTCATGATTTTAATTTATTTGCAGACACAATACAAATGCCCTGTCATTGCCAGTTTTGCAGTATCTACACTCCAGTTTCAATATTACATGTATTTACATTCTATACAACTGTGGTGATTACAACTGTATACAGTTTGTGTAATAAAGTACATTTTCAAGTTACCTAACTAATTCAAAATGCTTGTTATGACTATTCTCCTTAATGATGTTACATTTAGCTCATTTATTAAATCAGGGGTGTTAAATTAATAATGCTTAGATTAATCCCAATATATTTTAAGAAATTTTACAATGAATCCACATATATTGCATTCACACACTGAATAAGCGATCATATCTAAGTTTTCTATGGTTGTAGATAGAACGAAGGTCGCATGTCGGACTCGAACTCGTGTCCGCTTTGTCAACAAAATAAAAAAATAAAAACGGATTAACGTCACGAACAGGATTCGAACCTGTGCGGGGAAACCCCATTGGATTTCGAGTCCAACGCCTTAACCTCTCGGCCACCGTGACGCGCATTTTTGTATGTAGTCATGTGACTATTTAATGGCAAATAAAGACATTACATGTGATAATTAATGTCAAACACGTTTATATCAACAGATGTTAAGCGTTTTATTAGCAGTAAACTTCGCTTACACATGACGTCATTGGCATTGTCCAATAGGGTGATTTAAGGGGATTGTTGCCGGATACCCAGGGAAATCCGAATGAACCTGCACTTTGGAAGGCCGACATTGTTTTTTTATTCTACAGCTGCTTGTGCTCCATTTAGCATGTTGCCAGTATTCTACTATTGCTAATTCACTGCTTCGAGAAATGTACCAGTCTGTAGATAATAACAAAACAAATGTATAACCCAAAATAGTTGATAGTTAGCATCTGAGCTAATCAATCCATGTGTAGTAGGTTGCATTCTTCACCGTCGGATAAACTTCACACCAATGAAAATCAACGTCACTCAAATGAAACAACCGGGAGGGTAAACATGTTTTTACTGTTTGTAATATTATTTAAATAGCTGTACTCAGTGTGGATTACTCGGAATATGTGAAAAAGGTTGCAAAAAACTACTTCGTCAAGTCATTTGAAACAGTTGGTCCACGGGGCTCTTGAACGCAGCACAGTTTACGTCCAATGAATTGGACCGTGACGACAAGCCCCGCCCCCTCCAGAGAAGCATTAAAGCCTCCACGGTTGTCACAGTTAACAACAAACTTTGACACTACACACGCAATCATGATCAACTATAAGGTAAACAGAGCCTTATTTATTATGTTATACATCTATTATGCATGTTATTAGTGTAACGGCTGTTTCCTACGTGGTTCCTTTGTTATAAATTGGCTGTACAGTCCTTAGCATGATGCTAAAGGTTAACCAGTGTTCTGCAATGCTGTCTTTCCATTGCTCCATTTGTCTTTAAGTGTGTGCGTTGCAGTGAAGTTCAAGGCATTTCTGCGAGAATATTCTTGGAAATGTGTTTAACTAACCCTATAAATACGTTGACAATGTCTACAGTAAATGCCCATCTATGGGTTATCTGTATGCCGAATTAAAATGGCACTGTTGTGATGGGAGCCCTTAACACTTGGTGTTTAAAATGATCAATGGATGAATGAAGTCTGGGCAACTGCGTAGATGTCCTGTAACCAGTGGTGTTATGGGTTGAAGTACATTAATTGTACAATCCTGAGGTACTTGTACTTTACTTGAGTATTCTCAGTTTATGCTACGTTATACTTCTACTTCACCACAATTCAGAGTAGTTAAGGAAGATTTTGAATGCAGGGCTTTTACTTTCTACTTTGACTTATGTAAAACATATGAGTACATCTTCCACCACTTGTAAATGCCAAGCTATGTGTTGTGTGTGTATCAAATTAAAAAGGGCACTGTTAAATCATAGGGTGTTTTTAAAAATGAATGAATGAAGTCTGGGCAACTGCGTAGAAGAGCTGTTTGCACATGGTGAGCAGCTGTCAACTCTTCCTCACCCCGCCTCCCCTCTTGGAGACTAAATTTACTTCTATCTCCCATTTGGACAGCTGAGGCCTCTTGTGGATAAGAGGGGAGGGGGGGTGGAAACATCTCCAGGATCCTTGAATGTTCCAGACCTTTCTTTAAAATGTGTCCAAAAAAACAAGGTTTTTCCACTCCAGCTCGAAGGAATCATTATTTTGTTAATCTCCTTTTAGTTTAAAGACATTGCTGGAAGAAAGAAGGAAAAAAAGGAAATGCATAGGTATTTTAATGTAATGTATTTTTATTCTGAAATATATATATATATATACTCTCTTTTTCCTCAGGCTTTAGACAACGTCCCCCTCCTTCTCTACATCCTGGCCCTGAAGACCCTGATCCTGTGTCTGGGGTTCGCCGGGGTGAAGATCTACCAGAGCAAGAAGGCAGACCAGGCGCTGAAGAAGCAGAGAGACGAGCAGAAGAGGCTAGCCCAGATCACCCAGGAGCTCATAGACAACAAGAAGGACGACTGAGAACACCTGCACACAGGTAACGGACCAGCTAACATGTGTTATAAAGTAGTGCTGTTATACATTGGCTATTCAACAGTCAGTAGAGAAATATTACTTAAGTACAGTTCTTGTGTAAATGTACTTAGTTACTTTACACCTCTGCTGTCTGTATACAATATGCAAATTAACTATGTAGCACCACTGTTCCACCTAGGGGACAATAAAACAGAATAGCTCATTGCATCAACATGTAATATTTACGATGTTGTGGATCATAAACACAGGAGGTGATTTGGCAGTATTGACATGTTATTGAAGTGATCTTTCCTCCTCTCTTCCCAAAGGGAACATGTTTCTGACCTGAGGAACATGCCAGTTTCTCCACAAACGAGCCGGATGTCTGACTGTCGGCAGCAGGAGGTCCTCCCTGTGCTTTACATCACTCTACTGGTTTTCCATATGTAAATGTTTGACCGAACTATCAGTCAAACATTGTTTTTTAATCAAATCGAAGGACAGCAGGAAAGCTGAGGGACTGTTTTGTCTTTTTAACAGTGAAGAAACACACGGCCCAGCGTCCACTCCTTTCTGGGCCTCATCTACTGTTGTCTTTATACTCGTCACACTTGACTTAGCTTCACTTTGTACACCGGGAGTGTTAGTGTATCAATGCTAGTCAAATCTGCTTATTCTCAAGAATACAGCATGGTATTTATTCTGAAATATTCCTTGTAAATTGTCTACCTGCATTGTGCCAAACTTTTATATTTGTATTAAACTGTTTGTTCCACATGTTGCAATTTGTTTTGCCTTCATTTCAATTCCTGGGGAGTATCTGGAAAAGCTCAAGACATAGCAACAGAAAGAACAGGAGGTTCATTGTTTCAAGTACTAGCCTATGTCCTTGTTTACCTCTTAAACCACTGGTAATGGGACACTTTGGTGTTGCAGTCCTGTAAATGCGGAGTTTAGTTTGGCAGTTCTAGTGGTTTCTTTTTTTTCAAAGTGCAGGGAAATGTGGTTTGATAATTTCGATGACAGTTCCGGTCGGTCTGCTTTAAAATAAAGGGGCGGGCCTCTACTCGAGTTGGCCACCAGGGCGCATGCGCAACGGCTGGTAAAAGCAATTAATCCGGAGTGCTCAGTGCACCTGCTTCATAACAACACTGTCCTGGAGGAGAGGAACATGGAAATAAAGTGGATGAAAACAACAGAAAGAATCCGAGCATCTTGTGTTATGAGGTCAGTCGCAAACAAACTGCATGTTGGAGGCTAGGTAGTGAACGAGATACTAACTTACTTTAATAGGAAAGTTGGTATCCCATTCTGAAGCAACTGTAATAAAACACATTTGCGTGAACGAGACTGATAATTTGAGCCAAAGCCAATGAAACAACTGTAATATATTGATGTCTCTTAGGCTACCTGAGCTTCTTGTCCTGTAGAGGGCAGCATTTCCTTACTAATACTCATGGCCTGTATTTCAGCGTTAGAAGGGGACCACTACAATCTTTAACATCCAGACCAAAGTGCATTTCTTTTCTTTCTTCTTCTTCTTCTGCAGCACCACCACTCCTCCTTCCTCCACCTAGCTTCCTCTCATTTGATTGACAGCGTCTTGCTGCAGTGGTTTAGTGAGGAGCTCTCATGTCTCAGGAGGTGTTACTGGTATGGATGCCTCAATTTAGCTTGTTTTGATCTGCAGACAGACAGTCTGTTTTCTAGAAGCAGTCATGTGCTGCAACACAGGCAACAAGTCATTACTGACTCACCTGCTTTGTTTTCTTACAGACTGAAACATATGGGGTAGTTTCAATGCATTCTATTTTATAAACTCAAGTTGTATGTTTGAAGTTTTATCCTACAAAGTAACTTTTAACTACATGCAGCTATAATTAACATGCAGTGGAGGACAAAGTACAATGTCTTATGGACCTTCTTTCCTTATGTCTTGCACGTATACTTTCCCCTACAGTATATGTTTGCTTTGAAGCACAGAAAGAAGAGTTATTCTCCCTGGGAATAACAGACCCACTGGGATTCCTGAGGCATGGAGTGTAAACATGTCCACCTTGAGAAAAACGACCTCAGGATTTTGAGTGTGGAGACACATATAGTGTTTCTTTTCTCACCAATTGTTGACCCCTGGAGGCTTCAAGGACTAACTCATAGCTGCAGACACATCGAGTAAAAGTTGCATTTCTGTGCGTACAAATTACAATCCAGTATTCTTAATTGCCCCTGTAATTCCACAGTGTCCCATATTTTAATGCCATTTCATTCAAATTGAAATAAAACATTGCCCAAGCCACAATGAGGGTAAATACATTTTAATTATGAGCATCCATGCAGTCTCCAGAGCGCTGGTCCAAAAAAACATGTGAATGCTTCCCATTTAGAACATATGTCACATGTTCACCCCTCAAAACTCTAATAACCCTGTACAGGCACATGATTAACACAAAAAGCATGTGTGGTGTAATATATGAATTAATTCATAACATTAATTGGGTATATTTGGTGGTGGCATATTTATTCAAGGTTCAAAGGCTTTATTATCATATGCACAGCGTGACAAGGCAAGTTTATTTATATAGCACCTTTCAACACAAGGCAATTCAAAGTGCTTTGTGTATGGAAATGGGAATCTTAAGTCCCATGCTCCTCCAGCATGCAACATAAACAAACAAGACATAACACAATAAAAAACAGTGCAAGAAGAAAGAAAGTATAATGTAATAGTGCAAGATTATGTAGCAGCTTTATGTGAAACATGGCAGAGTACATATTTCACAATTGATCACTTCAGAGGATGTGAGGTGAGGAGAGATTGAGAGAATATCAAAGAGATAGAGAGAGGCTGCTGGTGGAGGAAGAATAAGACAAAGTGAGGAAGAGAGAGAGATAGAGAGAGAGAGGAAAAGAGGAAGAGGAGGAGAGGGGGATTGCATCGCAGTGCACCCGTGCGTAAATGGGACCATCCTCGCCTCCATCTCTCCATCCGCTCCCCGGTTGCCTCCAGCCGCTCCTCTCTGCTCCTCTCGGCCGGGATCACCTGCTCGGTGGTCGGTGGTTTTGGGACCGTGGAGTCCCGGGTGTCTCGGCTCGGCGCCCTCCTCCAGGGGTTAGGAGGAGCGCCGGGGACCTCGTCCAGGTTCCTGCCGGGCTTCGTGGCTGCTCCTCCCGAGAACCAGGGCTCTGAGCGCCGGGAGAGACGCGGATCCACCCGCTCGCGGATGCCGGTGATGCGAGGTCTGATCGCGCCACAAAACACCTTCTTGGACACCATCGCCACTCGCTTCGATGGGACCCGTGAGTAAACAACTATTAATTTCACTGTGCGCAATGCATGGTTATTTAACCCTTGTGTTGTGTTCGAAAGATGTTACCGTTCATGGTGTTCGCGGGTGCATTTTGACCCATGATTTATCTCAGTCCAAAACACTCAAAAATAATGACTATCATCCAATATTGTTTTAACATCATACTTATTATGCTTTCCTAACCGTACAATCCTGTTAGTTCATTATATTCCCTATAGAGAAGACAGTGGATAATTATGTTATCTGACTATAATAGACTCATATTACAATTTCCCCCTAGAAGTTGTTACAACTTTATATTATTAAGTGTTCACTCACTTCAAACATATTCAAACTCTGCCAACACAAAGTCCTCCTTCAAGAGGATTGGGGGCACGTGAAGACACATGCATGCTGAAACTGATGAATGAATTATTTATGATGAATGAAAACACAGACACTGTTTAACATATTAGGAATTCATAAAGATGAATAAAACATAGTGATGCATAGGAACAAAATACACATGTATGCAAACAAAAAGGCAGGTGGTGTAAAGTTAAAGGCATTTATTCAAATTGAAAATAAGTGCTTCTGATCCTTGATATAAAAATGTGGACACAACTCAGTGTTAATGAAATGTGAAAAAACCACATTGTGTTAACTGAAAACTGTGAATCAGGACAAAAAGTTGCAATTCAATTTAAATATGGAGTCCATATGCCTTTGCTGTGATTCAGTCATGCATCAACTTGTCATAGTCAAATTAACCTAGCTGCCAGGCCCATAATACCCCCCCCCCCTCCTCCCACATGTTGTGTACGCTGGGGATTTTCTATTTGGTAGTTTGGTTATTCATTTGGGAATATGAGTAAGAAAACATAGCAATCAAAATACAGAAATTGGATTTTGACGCAGGGGCCCTTTTCAACTTGGAGGTCAGTCTAATAAAGCAGGGTCAGCGCTTCAGAGTGGCTGCAGCCAAATATTCAATTCAATGAGCACAAACCATTGAAACACAAGAGCACTTGACTGTTTAACATCCAGGCTCGCTCACAACATTGTGCATTGTATTTGTTTTTTAATCATCACATACAACAGGCATAATTGTTTGTGACAGCACTGACCTGTGCTGTTATTATTAGTCACCACGAACCCTTGTTAGTTTGTGCATTCAGCCCATGAACCTGCATGGAAACAAATGTCAAACCATATGCGAACTGCAGTTAAAGCTTAACACGGTTGCATAAGTCAGTCCCGAAGGCACAAACTAACAGGCAGGGCTGAGCAACGCACAATTTATAGATGAAGCATATATGGTACAGGAAATCAGAGCGGGATGTGTCTATTTTCTGAGAGAGAGCTGACAGTGATTACAGAATAATTCATGCTGCAATATTTAGAGCATGCTTGGAAATCAGTCATCAGTGGCATCTGCAGGTATTTGATACGTCCCCTGAAGGCAGTGTCTCATGAGATGGCATTAATTCATTTTGAATATTTATGTCATCGGTGATCAGGTGTAGCCAAATCTGAGAGTGGAGCAGAAAGCACTTCCCTGCATCTGTTAGCAGCAGCTTCAGTGTACAGCTGCAGGAGATCCATTAGACTCTTGTGGTTCAGCACGGATTGAACACTTCTGCTCAATTGCTGTGAATTTCTATCAAACATTTCAACCTTCACAGCGTGTTATTCGCCTTAAAATGTGTTGTGTTTAAATTCAGTTTTACTAAGTTCCAGCCTCTTTGGTCACTGCTGGTTCCAAAAAAGAACTAAGACGGCGACAGGCTTTGCTGGATTTAAAGGGATGAATGACTTCCTCTTGCTTTAATGTGAGAAAGTGAATGGTGTTCATGTTGAGCTCTTCTTCATTTAGGATCTTATACTCCTAACCCTAGCAGGCCTGTGGTCAAATCACAGTGAGGAGCCTTTTAATGACGACCTTCTTCAACAGATGACTGTATAGCTGGGGCTCTGTCAAGAAAGTGTGTGTGCATGTGAAGGTGTTTCATTTTAGTTGAGGCTAAAACACAGCTGGCAAAATGGACTGGGAAAAATGTAGGATGTTGTTTTATATCTTCACACTGAAATGAGTAGCAGTGCAGGTCGAGAGAAGTCAGATGTTTTGTTTTATTTGCTATTCAGCACACTATATAACAGAATAACCATCCATAGTGAGTGCTAAAGCCGGGCAAAAAAGTATTCTCAGGATCTCCATCCTTCCCATTCAACATTAATGCAGCATGATAACCGGGGAGACCTCTGGGAATTCTCTCTAGATTTTCTTTTTGTGACATTGCAGTAAGACAGCTTCAGTAAGAGCCCTTTCATAACACCGAGATCTCCCCATGCACTGCATACATATTTATACATGGAAAAGGGTTACAGATTTGAATGGATAACCTAGGAGTGAAGACGACCAAGATACTGTTGAAAGGATTGCTATATGCTGTTTAGCGCCAAGGATATGAAGCCTAGCTAGCTGTGAATATGT